AACACCCTGAAGAAGATGATAACCACGATAACCATGTCATGTTGGTGATGAGTGGGAGCCTCTAGCTTCATCACACACTTGAATATATTGCTTGTCTTGTAACAGTGGTGCAAATCAAGGTCTGGGATACATTAGACAGTAAGCAAGCAGTCGGTTCTCATAGTAAATGTGTTGAATGTGGGAGGAGAGGGCAGGCGTGAAGACCTGAACGGGGCCAAATTGTCATCGTCACAGCATCTCCAAAACAGCAGGGCTTGTGGGGTGCTCACAATCAGCAGTGGTGGGACAACCCCCAAACCGGTGTCAGTTTGTTGGGCGCCCAAGGCTCAGCAATGCACAAGGGCCACAAAGGTTATCCTGTCTGGTCCAAACCAACAGATGAGCTACTGTGGAAGCGTCCATGCTAACCCCTGCCCACTATCAAAAGCCCCTACTCTGAACTGGACCTTGGAGCAAGGGAAGAAAGGGGCCAGATCTGATGAGTCCCATTTTCTTTTCCATCATGTGATCAGCCAGGTACGTGTGTGCCGTTTACCTGGGGAAGTGATGGCACCTGGATACACTGTGGGAAGAAGACAAATCGGTGGAGGGAATGTGATGCTCTGGTCAATGTTCTGCCGGGAACCCCTGAGGCCAGGCATTCATGTGGACGTCAGTTTGACATGTGCCACCTTCTTAAAGATTGTTGCAGACCAGGTACACCTCTTCATGGCACTGGTGTTGCCCAATGGCAGTGGCCTTTTTCAGCAGGATAACAAATCCTACCACACTGCACACATTGTTCGGGAGTACTCTGAGGAGCATGACAAACAGTTCAAGGTGTTGCCCTGTCCTCCAAATTCTCCAGATCTCAATCTGATGGAGCATCTATGGAACAAGTCTGATCTGGAGCTGCTTGACTTCAAAACTTCGAGACTTAAAAGATCTGCTGCTGACATCGTTTCCAGATACAACAGGGAACCTTCAGAGATCTCGTTGAGTCCATGTCTCGGTTGGTCAGAGCTGTTTTGGCGGCATGCAGGTGACCAACAGATGGTTGAATAAAACACTAACATAAATGTGTCTTGGCAAGGTGATTCACCAAAACAGCTTTAATGCACTTTGGCATAGATTCCCCAAGTCTCGGGAGCTGTACCCTCTAGGGTTAGAACACTCTTCTTCTAAAAGATATTCCCAAAATGGGTGTTTTGCGATGGTGGTGGAGAATGATATGTACCATGTCCAAAATTACATTTACATTTATGGCATTTGGCAGACGCTCTTATCCAGAGCGACTTACAATTTGATTATTTTTACACAGGTAGGTGAAGGTAGTGTTAGGAGTCTTGCCCAAGGACTCTTATTGGTATAGTGTAGGGTGCTTACCCAGGATTGAACCCCAGTCTGCTGCGTAGAGGTGTTACCCACTACACTACACCAACCACCAACCACCAATTAAAATCTCCCACAAGGGTTTAACTGGGTCAAGCTTTGGTGACTGTGAAGGTCATAGCATATGATTTCCATACGCATATATCAAACCAATCAGTGACCCCTCCTGGCCTGGGGATGGGAGCATTGTCCTTCTGGAAGAAAATCCTCCAATGAGCATAGAAATGTAGGATAAAGATGTTCAGTCAAGCCTGACTTGCAGTGACCCTTCTCTCAAAGGGGACCCAAACCATGTCGGAATATGCTCCCCACAGCATTACAGAGCCACCAGACCTCCTCACTGCAGGGGTCAAGCATTCAGGCCTGACCGTTCTCTTGGTGTTGCTGTATGTGCACTCATTTACGTTTACGGCATTTGGCAGACACTCTTTTTCAGAGCAACTTACAATTTGATCATTTTACACAGGTAGGCATATGTAGTGTTAGGAGTCTTGCCCCAAGGACTCTTATTGGAATAGCGTAGGTTGCTTGCCCAGGCATGGGACTGAACCCAAGCCCACAGCATGGAAGGCAGAGGTGTCATCCACTACACTGTACTCCTACTCCCACCTCACTCATTGACTTGTGGAGAATACTGGAATATGGTGAAGAGTGACTCATCTGACCATTCACCTTTTTCCACATCTCTGTTCACCAGTGCGGATTGTTTATACACCACTAAAGGGGTTTATGCAATTAAGCCCTACTATTATATTCCTCTTTATGTAGTTGTGGACGTTCTGTTCTTGCTGATGGTCTGATCACATCCTCCTTCCACCTGAAAAACAGCTGCTCTTTTTGTTTTTCCTTACATATTGAACTAATGTGCAAGCATCACGCTCACTGAATGTGGGCTTTCCACCTCAATTTACTGACGTCTTTCTCACAGATCTAAATGCAGAGGTCACTTTCGTCACTGTTCCTATTAAAACACTAGCCAGTTGAGCAGTCTTTGTGAATGAAGCTCCTGCATTCGTTCCCCAATAATGAACCCTCTTTTAAAGTCACTTAGATCTTTCCCTCTTGATCTAAAACCAAAGTCACCTGGACTCTATCATGCTATACACCTGTCTGGAATGAGTTTCTCTACTCATTCATTTAAGTTTTTCCTTTCATTTGTCACCTGTCAGTATTTACTGGCTTGCACTTTACTGACCCCTAGTGGACAAGAGCAGCAATAATAAAAACGCAATTGGACTCAGACAATGAGGTACCCCATTTTATTAACTTCATCTTGCATTAATAATATCAGAATGCACGAGTACCAGCTCTAGGTCATGATTTATTTGGTGTACAAGTGGTTGGCCCCGTCCCAATACTGAAACACCACCTTTCCTCGTGTTTGCCCACTTTGCCAGACGCCCAGCGCAAGCAAAACCTCCACATTACTTTAGATCAGCGCTTCTTAATCCCAGCCCCTGTTCACAACACACCTGTTTCAACTAATCAAAGGCTTCATAAGCCGAGTCAAGTGTGGCAGAGCGAGAACAACACAAGAAAGCGTGCAGAGTGTGCGGACCTGAGATTAAGAAACGCTGCGTTAAGACATTAGTTTGTATTGCTTGAATCAAATGTGCTTTCCTTCAGTATCAGACCAGAAGTGTGCTGTTCTGTTAGCATGTTAAAGTGTGCTGAAAGTGCTGATCTGTAAACTCTGAGAATGAGAACTGTTTATCAATCTGGACCTGTTTTCCTACAAATGTCAACTGTAGAGACTGTAACTTAATTATTAAAATGAGCAGTGTAAAAATATATTTGTGAAAACAGCTTATGTATAATATTTCTCATTATGATATTTCTAACAATATTATAGGATTATCCAGCCTGTTTTGACATTTTTTCTTATTTTAAGCAATTCTATCCAGTGAGATTCTTGATGTGTCTGTATCGCGTATTTCAAGAAAGAACACGATAATTTCACTTGATTAGACGTTATACATACAGTTGTATGCACAAATTGGAAAACTTGTCGTCAAATTACGTTTATGTTGATTTTCTAAAAGTTCTCTACAGGAACATTAAATGACGCTTTTCTGCAGATTTTAGTGCAGCTTCTATTTATTTGATGAGCAGAAAACGAAAGTTACAAAATGTGCCATACATTTTGCAAAGACCATATTTCACTCTATTTTTTTTCCTGCACTGTGTTAAATTCAGCAAATAAGCAGTAATTGTGCATTACGGAAGTGTATCTCTGTAGAGGATGTGTTACTTGTGTTACCTGTATAAGTAAAAATTTCATTTGAGTTTTATGTTGAATGATCTTACAATATTCTCATTATGCTGTCAGTGCCATCATTAGTGCTTATTGCAGTAATAACTGCTTTATATTCTTGCTATCTATGTGTTGTTTCATGTAATTGACACTGACCGGTCCAAGAGCTGTTTATGGCTCGAAATCACAAACTTATCCAGCCCTGGAGTGAGTTAGAAATACAACCAAAATAGTCAAGGTGATGTAGCTCACTAAACTGTGTTTCACCAACATAATATCAAAGATCATTAGATCAAAATAAGCTTGTTGAAGAAATCCGGCTTCGTAAGACTGACCCTTTGCCCTTTGTGACAGGCAACAATAGCTGTGGTAGTCAGAATATTGCTGAAGTTTCAAACATGTCCACAGATCATCTTGTCCTAAACCATCTGTCCAGCTACAGAAAGCCTCGTTTGCCATAAATAGCAATTAGCAGACGGACTAAACTTGGCTGTATACGCAGTTTTTGGTACACCTGGTCATTTCTGATGCCAAAACAAGGAGATGAGGAAAGGTAACGACGTACTGGGACGAGGCCTCATAAATACAAATTTGACCCAAGTCAAATGAGTGCAATACATAATCAAACAATACAATGAAGGAATGAATGAATGGACGACGGGCTGTGTATAAAAAGTCTACAAAACCGACATATGCTTGTAGTGTAAAACGCGTCACTTTAAAACCATGCTAATCTACTCGTTTCGACTGAGTCTACATCCATAACTGCGCAGCACTAGTACTGAGGTCTAAATAACAAATATCGAGAAGAAAGAATGCCAGGCAGTGAGGCAAAGAGACAAGGCAGGCTGCTCAGTCCACAGGAATACGTCATCTAAAAATGCTAACATACTAACAAGCCAATGTTCCAGTTAGCATTGCATAAATTCTGTAATTCTTTCAAATTAGCATTTTTAGGTCAAGTACTCCCTCAGCCCCTTCCCTAACTGACCCCTACTAAGGTCTTATCCAGTTCAGATAGAGATTTAATGTTAGCTTGATGCTATTGACCTACTGCTCACACATTCGTTTGCTTTAAATAAAGGAAAGTAAGGCTGCACGATATATCGTTTGTTAGCCACAATATTTGACCTTTGCGATACCGATATCGCAGATGCCATAGTGCTGGGCGATATCGATAAAATTCAATGTTACACTATTTTCAAATATATCACCTTATTTGAGTCTGTTTAAGCTTCCTGAATACTGCTTATGCTAAAACAATGTCTTGAAAACCTGACATAGCTTGTTTTGTTTGGACGGTGTTGCTGTTCTACTTGTATTACAATTACATTGCAATTACACAGTATTGTAGAGATCTTCAAAAGAACACTTATTATCTATATGGTTTTTATTAGGGCTGTCAAAGTTAACACATCAACAACGTGATCAATTATTAAAGCCACTATTTTTTAATGCAATTTCTTGATTAGACCCTTGAAACCAATCAGTCCAGGCTGAAACCCAGCTGCAGTGAGATGTGTAGCTACGACAGAATCCACGATTGTAGACCTCTCGTTCAAATACAGCTTTTAAATGGCCTTCTGCAGACCACACTGGGTGACGTATGACTAAATCAATGAGCAGCAAACTAACAAAAGCAACAGCAAAGTGGAGCTCCAGTGCCTCCACTGTAGTAATCCACAAGCTATATGAACGAGTGTGAGAGCCTATATGTTACTTTCTTTAGGGTTAAATATGTTTTTTTTCACCATCAGCTAAAAGCAAAAATTCAATATTGATGTGTGGCACCATAACTAATATGAACACTATATCGCCCAGCACTATGCTGCAATATGCAAACTTGCAGAAAACTACATTACATGTTGGTATATTCCATTTGTTTTAATAAACCAAGCTGTTCATATGATTTGGTAAATGTAAATAATTTTGGTCAAAATAAATACATACATCATTTCAACATATTGCAATTTGTAGCAATATAACTGTGATATAATGTTGTGTATCGTGCAGCCCGAGTTTAGAGTAAGGGGCTATGGTCTGGATCTGAGCTTAAACAGAGAGCGAGTTACTAGTGTTTTTTAAGTCTACAGTCAGTATGTTTCAGGAAAACAGTCCTTCATCTGGAGGTTGAAAGGTTAATATAGTCAAAACACAGTCACGGTTCCTCTTTTTCATTTTAAACGGAAAAAATAAAGGTCACAGAGAACGTTTTAGACGTTACTCACTGAGGAACTTTAAATATCCCGTTTGTACCCCGAGTTGACCTATTTTAACATGCACATACTGACTGTAGCTTTGATAAGGATCTAAAAATGAGTTCAGCTGTAACTGCTCTGTGGTGTGGTGAGTGTGAAGGTTGTAGGTCCTTTATCTCGGGAATGGATCTGCTGCTCGAGGTCACGCTCTGGTGTTACCAGTTGTCCAAGAAGTCAAAGCCGGTCTTCAGGATGGTATTGCTTGTGTTGAACTGTGTAGAAGATTAAAATAGATTTTAATATGTATCAACAGTAACTTACAGTAAAATGGTGCATGTTTAAAGCAGTGGTGCAACCGAAAATCAAATGTACACAATTTCCCTGCTCTTACCGCCAACTGCAGTTGATCAGCCAAGACATGTTGACGCTTGTTTATTTAGTTTTGCAATGGAGTGGCTGTAAGTCTAATGCAGTTAACAAGTAATGGAAGCTTACAGTGTCATGAAAAGTCTGATTTTCTCATGACTGCATATTTGTCAAAGTGAACGCCTTTAGATCTTTAAACAAAACGTAATATTAGACAAACACGAAACATTTTGATATATTAAACGATAGGAAATGTCTGCAGTAAAGGCATGAAGCAAGTTACTAATTTTATGGGGCACTTACTTTTTCACATGGGAGATTCATGTTATCTTTGCTCCTTAATTAAAATGAAATGAAATTAATTTAAACGCGTTTGTTTCTGCTGAATAAAGTTCTCTTTGCCTAATATTCATTTTTTTTAAAGACCTGAAGCATTCAGCGTTGTAAGTACAGAAACATAGAGGAAATAAGGAAGGGGCAAATACTTTTTCACAGCACTGTACTGCATTGCACTGCACAAAATGCCACCCTAAATGCAACTGATTGAGCCTCCTGACCCTAATTATCCCCCATTCCAAGCTATTAATTCTATAGGTTCACATACTTTCGCCAATAGAGCCATTTTGGATCACTTTGTCCAACAAATGAATGGAAAACTATGTGACTGAGTTGTTATTTGGGTTTTCTTTATCTCATTCAGAGTGGTTTGATGTGAAACTCTGTTCTAGAGAAACGTCCTCAGTCAGAATTGTTCACTGTGGTCATGACGGGAATCAGAGGTCTGAGAAGTTTAACGCCATTAAAAGCTCCATGTTACATTAAATGACTATCAATGCGCCGCCTGACAGATTGTTTTACGACAGTTTTGAAAGTTTTAGACCAGAAAGTATTTTTAAAATCCACTTTTTCTTGAGAGGTACATGCAGTCTTAACTGTTTTCGTATGTAGGCTACAGGTTAGACTATCCATATCATGTTGCATTTCACAGATTGGCAGAAATTCTACCATATTTACATTAAACAGAGGACAGCAAAATGAACACAGAACAAAATTAAACCAAACGTTCAAACAAAACATTTACAAACAAGAACTAGTACTGATGGTGGAGGACACAGCCAAGAGAAAAAAAACTCTTTGGTTTATTGTAACAGTTATATTTTGTGAAACTTTCAGAAGCTACAGTTTAAGAAGTTTAACATATCAATTCTTACAGTCTAAGGCAAGTGTGAGGCTGTCGGAAGGCTAGAAAATGCTTAAGATAACGTACTAATTGAAAGAATAAGTGGTATATATTCAAGAAATATAACTCTTGTTCTTGCTATTGTTCTTATAATAAAGAAATGAAGAAACTCTTAAAAATTTCAAAAAATACCCGACTTTTTTCTTTAACATATAATTTCTTAAGACACTTTTATGAATCACCTGATCACATTCTGGTCAGAATTAGGCAGAAATTCAGAGAGAGAGAGAGAGAGAGAGAGAGAGAGCCCTCACCTGTGAGAAGGTCGGGCTGGCGGCCGGCGACCCGTCCACTTTCTCGCTGTCTTTAGCTGCGATTGCTTGAGGCGGAGTCTTGGTGGCCAGTCCGGGGCTGAACACGTCGTCGACTGGGCTGCTGGCTGAGGGCAGAGTGCTCTGGGCTCTCTCCCAGCCTCCGACCGGCGCCGGAGGGGCAGGAGCGACATTCAGAGTGGCTGGTGTGACACTGATGGGAGCGGGCGGAGGTGGGGGTGGGGCCGGGGGTTTGGGTGCCCTCTGCTTCACCGGCCGAGGTGCCTGAAGCTCCTCTCCCCCGCTGTCCAGTCGCAGGTACGAGGGGAGGGGCTTCTCACCTTTCTCCAGAGACTTTATCTGACTCGGGGTCAGAGACTGGAAATCGGCCTTCTCCCCCTCCAGCCTGGAGCGCTCGGCGCTGATCTTCCAGAAGGAGGATTCCTCCTCCCGCCGGCCGCTCTGCGACGTCTTTGGCTTAGATTCGGGCGCAGAGGACGAAATGACCATCTCTGGAGCGCCTGAGATCACGCTGAACTCCATCTGACTCTGCAGGCAAAAGGAAGCACAAGCACTGTTACGGTATTCATTAGTCATTTATGTAGGCTAGTTATCTCATCATAAAACAGGTACTGAAATCTAACTGGCTGAGCCACGTTCAAAGTCACGAAGGTGAAAAAGGTGAGATGAGCTGCTTTTCCACCGTTTACAGGCTTTAACTTCTGTTCAGTGCTGCTGCCATGGTAACGCTGAATGATGGTCACGCGCAGTGGGAAAAAAGCACATGAATTCTGATCTGAGCGTCACATTAAGGTCGCATGGCCTCGAATCGGATACGTATCCAATCTAGCACCACATATGAAAGTGACCCAGGTCAGATTTGAAAAGATCAGATTTGCGTGTCCACACAGCTCTGAAAACACCAGATCTGAATCACATTAGGGCAAAAAATCTGATTTGTGCCACTTCAACCTGGTAATGTGAACGTAGCCTAAAATATCTGACACAAACATCTGACCACATATATCCTGTGCGTCAAACACAAGGCCTGAGGGTCAAGTCAGACCCGTAAGACAGTCCTATTCGGCCCACGAAATTATTTTAGTCCGTTTCACCCTGAGATGCACTACAGTCCCCAGCATGCACTGCAACAGTGTGCGTTCTGACTCCCTCCCCCAAAAACAATATATGGGCCAATGGTTACACAAAATGAAAAGATGCCCGGTGTCTAGTTCAAGCAAATAGGCAGTTTAAAAAATAAAAAAAATACCTAAAACAATTTATTTTTATTTAGAATTATTTTTGAAAAAGTATTCAATGCATATTTTGCTGTTGCAGTTTTGGCACATTTTAAATAAACAATGGTCCATTCAGGTTTTGGCAAAGTGTAAAGTAAAAATGAAATAAAAACACAGCTGGCACGGATTTGCAGAGATTTTTTAATACGGCCCTTTTAGTGGTTGAGTTTGACACCGCCGACATAGATAATGAATTCTATATTAATGCGTCAAATTATTAAAATCATTTTGTTGCTTAGCAACCCCTGATTACATCGCTTGGCAGATGGACGGTTTCTTGTGATTAGTATTAATAATAAATTATTTCTTGAACATTGGTGTCAGTGTTTTAGAATCGTAATAAGCTTCTTGAAGCCTTGTGTTACATTCATTTTACCACAAAACCCCTTAACTGTGGTAAAATCAAAGCAAAGCACGGACCTAACATAAGCAATGTCATCGTCTAACACAGGGTTCAAAATAAACACAAAATTTTCCATTTGTGGTCATTCCACAAGAAAAAGATCAGCCTTCTGACTCTATGTTGTCAAAAGGGATTAAACCTGTTTACTTCAACCTTTTTTCCAGAATAAAAGTCTGTGTTATATTAAGTCTGATTAACATATGAAAGAATTACAGATGTGCTATGATTTTTCATGGTTTAACATTGTTTTGCCATTACTTTTGTTACTTACCCAAGCAGCACATTATAAGAAATAGTGAAAATTTCCAAAATGACATTTACAGTGCAACAAAACTACCAATTTGAAAACTACATATCAGCTAAAAATAGTGCACAAACATCCCACATGAAAAAGGTGTAATGTTATATAATGATTTCATTACTACAAGTATTACATATCATCTGGGTTTAAATATGTGATGTGCATTTGTGACAACCAACCCCGTAATCACATAATGAATTGGTGAATAAAGTGTTGATTCTGATGTTTATTTGTATAACGCAGGGGTGTCCGATAGTATCCGCAAAGGGTCGGCTTGGTTGCAGGTCTTCATCCCAAACAACCACACCTGATTCCACTTGTTCTGCATAACAGCCAACCCCATTACTGATTCTGTGTCACAATCATCACATAATGTATTGGTGGATGAAGTGTTTTCTGATTCTAATTAAGATAGAGGTGGGCAATATGACAATATTCTATCATAATCGTGATAAATGTCACAATATGCTTTTGTGAGCATATCGTGGACCCCATCAGTACTTAAAGAACACTGACTGACTGACTATGTTTCAATACAAGGTGAGCATAATCAGACCTGTTTGGTTGGGTTTAGTGCAGTACGAAATCACTGTAGTTGTATATGTGATTATAATTATTACAGTATTTTTCATATGTGGCACTACAGGTTCTATTTTGTCTGTTCCAACTTATTGGACATGTACCTTGAGAATGTTTTGAACTATCGTGATATAACATTTTTGCCACATCGCCCATCCCTAAAGGAAGTTTCGCCCAGTTAGCTGGGACGGCCATGTAGGCCAAAACGTTCATTTTTAGCAGCGGCGCCCTACATACTTTGGTCTCCCAGGAGAAGGGTGCTGAATGCTCGTCCTGCCAAGTTAAATCCTTCAAAGAAAAGAAAAGATGAATGTTAGAAGCTGCCATTACAATTATAGAACACAGTTACACCCAATGGCATCATATCTGTCTAGTCCAGGAAAGTTTCCGTGGTTGCTAACTAGCCTGGCCACCCTCTAAAAACAACCTGACACACTGTACAAACACTGAACGACGACATTAGACAGGAATTAGAAGAAAACAAGACCACACTGAAATTCTGTAAAGCTGTCAAAGTCTCAAACATGCTATAAATATATATGCTAAAGCCATTAGTAAGTTGAAGCTAGCTTCTTAGTCGAATTTTCCGTTCCACCTTAAATGGAGCAGCGGCTGCATTGTGAAGCCTACGGGCTCCAGAATGTAACCGCCGCTCCATTTAAGCCATTTAAGGTGGAACGGGAAATTCGAACAGGACGCCAACTTCAGCTTCGTAACGCCGCTATGCTAACGCCACAGCGAGCGGCAAAACAAACCCAACACAGTCGAATAACATTGAAAAACAGTACAAAGTGCTATTAATCACCTCCTCTCCGAAGTGGACGATCTTCTGGCCCGTCTGGATGAGCAGTTTGGGGTAACAGACCATCTCGTCTCGGTCCACTCTGTGCATGGCGTACCGAGCCCGGATTTTCGGGTCCATCATGCCGTCGTCTATCGCCGAGTCCTGCTCCGCCGGACTCATTTCTTCCCAGGCCGAGCCGAACTGTTCCTTTATCTTCTCCCTCTCCTGCATGATCTTCCTCGCCATGGAGTTGATGGAGGAGAAATACTCGAACTTCTTCGCCTCCATCATGTGCCCGTCGCCCGCTGACCCTGCCAGCGCTGTGGCGGCCATTTTCTCAACAGCTGGATGTGGAAAACAAACGCGGTGACGTCAGCGTCCCGTCCGGCGCGGCCACGTTCCTGTGACAGGGAAGGAGGGGAAGGGGCGCGTTCCAGTGTGAGGACTCGCGTTTTAACTAGGGCGCCTATCAAGTGCGTAGAATTCAGATTGAAAAAGACTAGACGCTGAGTGGACGTTTGACCAGAAGGCCTGGCTAGCACGGAAAATAATAACTACAACCCTCAGTTCGGGCGCAGAACTGTAACTGGATCGCTTAGCTAGTGCACACAATTCTAACTAGGGTGCCTAGTTAGTGTGAAGCATTTTTATTAGAGCACGCAGAGGGCGCGGAGTGTTCGCCCTTTGCAAAATGCTACTACGCCTGGATCAAGTATGTTTGGGTTCGACAGCAGATGTGTTAGGAATGCCATGTTGGGTTATATCAGATTATAACCTAGTTCCTCTCGTTCTCCTCCATATGTCTATGGATTTCTCACATTTTATTAAGATGTATGAAATTATTTTGTCTAATATACAGTTATACATTGGATTTTCAAGCCCTTTGTGAGGACAAAGTACTTGAAGCGGATTAAAAAAAGTTTTCCTGACAATGTTGATGTTTGGTGGTTTGCTTAATTAATTATTAACGTGTTTGTTGCTTTCCATTTCATAAAGGAAAGCCAGGATAACACTTTATTTTAAGGAACACATATTGGGGCTTTATTATTTGTTCAGTAAAGCCCAAATTAGACACTTCTAAATGTTTTGTTCACTTTGCAATAAGCTTTATTCATTATGACATGCATTAGTACATAAATGGAGGTCTGTTAAGTGACAGTTACACTTTGTTAAGAAGACCATGTTATGCACATCACTGAGCACGTACGAATCACCTAAAATCACATTTTATTACATATGGTTGGCAACATTTGATTTCTTTTCGAGTTTGAGTACGAGACATCAAGTGGCATCTGGAGTTTACTGCATTAGGGGTGATAAGAGTTTAAAAAGTCATTAATAGTTCAATATATATTTTAAAGTTGACTTTTAGTGATCACTATTAGAGACTAAAACTGCGTGTAAATGTGATAAATGTAATATCTATTGATATTTTGACAAAAAAAAAGTCTTTCTAAATTGATTTTTTTTTCACATTTGGTCGTTAAAATGGGTTGAAACTTTCTTAAAAAGAACGTATTTAATTTTTGGGGGGTCTAAGAAGTGTTATTATTCAGTTAATTTGATATATATATATATATAATCATTTTGCAAGCACCTAAATTATATGAAGTACAACAGTGTTTACAGACGCTGTGTATAGCATAAAAACTGACATAATTTGAGATGTGAATATCTGAGTAACTACATGTCCTGGCAAACGAAATTAAATAGGCTTCATGTTGAACAATACAAGATTATTTATCAAAATTTGAACAAGAAATTCGGAGGGATGTAGATTTTATAACCGATTTCACAAAGCTTCACAAATGTGATATCTTCCGATACCGGTGGTCGTCCAGATCCCTTTGCCCTGCACAGACAGCCTTCCTCTTTGAGTTTTTTGTGCCGTGTCCAAATCTGCTTTCCAGTTGGTGCATTTTTATTGAATTTTCTCGAAAACGCACGCTGCACATTCTTGTTTTACCGTGTTTGAGCTTATTCTAACACACAAAATGCCTTTTCATTTCTAGTGAACGCCATTCTTCAATCTGAAAAAAAAATACAAATTAAACTTGGTTAGTTTTTACACAATTAAAATTTGAGATCATTTGAGGGAGAATTGGCTATGTTATTAGACTACGAATTGATGTCAATTTTTGTGACACCCTGTATTTCCAGGCTTTGTAAGTATACAATAGCCGAGGCACGGTTTCGAGAGACTTTTATTTTGAAAAATGCGCTGTACGCTCTTGTTCTCCACAGGGCTTTTATGCTACATCGGGTGAGAGGGAGGCTGTTGTGCTGCTCGCTGTCCGGCTAGCTGTCAGGCTGGTGGCGATGCCTCGATCAGAATGATATCGCAGAGGGAAAGAGGAGAACTCGCTCGGTTTTACACTGTTACAGACCCCAAGAAGCACAGGAAGGGATACACAGTGTATAAAGTCACAGCCAGGGTGAGTTTTGGTGCGGATTTGTTGAATGTCCTGTCAGAAAATGACGCTGGCTGGCGGAGATTAGACCAACGTCAGCGGTAGTGACTGTAGTGGGAACCTAGAGTGAGCTGGAACGGTTAGAGTGGCGTTAAAACCGCAGACACCAGCATTAAAACTGCAGACCAGATACTTCGCCGTTTATTTACTGACCACACTGGCTTTTATCGCATTTACTGCAGTAGGCAGAGATGTCACAACACTTGTGACAGACGCTAGCTTGGCTATGCTAACTAATCTAGTTCAGTTGCAGCAAAGCGGTTCTGTCGCCAAACTGAAACTCGCAGCTTCTTAACCGATTTTTCCGTTCCACCTTAAATGGTGCAGCAGTTACATTCGGAATACACAGTCAGAGTGTAACTGCTGCAGCATTTAAGGTGGAACGGGACATTCAAATAGGAAGCCAGTTCAGCTTCGTGGTTCTCTCAGTGTTTTCACAGTCCTGGTTCTGCAACGGTACATTTTAACGTTCTTCTTTGAAAATATACGTTATTCGGGAAACTTTAGCTCAGTGCATCAGTAACTGCACAGTAAATTACTCATAAAAACTGTACATATTGAGCTAAATGTCATCAAACAATCCTTACTCTTGTCAGATGTTGTTGACAGTTAGCATCGATACATCCAGTTTTCATAGCTTTGTTACTCGACATTAGAGGTGGGCGATGTATGTAATATCACGATACTACAGGACTACATGCTACGATGTATCACGATTATTATGATTATTTTCCAGAAATCTGATAACTTACAGCAGGAAAAGAAGTGTCACGTTTTAAAAATGCCCCGAAACTGTGAATCCAGTGATTTATATTCAGAAATTTTGCAAATTGTGCTGCATTAAAACCAATTGAACGTGACCAGTTATGCTCTCTTTTTAATAAAACAAACAGTCGAGAAGTATTTCTTCTACACTGACATCCACAAAATGCCCAGAAAGGCATATTGCGACGTACTGTGATGTAAGTTATTATGATAGTGATAAATTTTGTCATGTTGTCCAGCTCTGCTTGACGTGCTGATGGTCACTGTGTGCAACAATAATACTAATAATAATAATCATAAAAAATAATAATTTTTACAGGTTCCTTTCAATGTACATAAGGACGTTATACACTGGACAGCAAACCTACTATAAATGGCTTAGTATTTCACAGAATTAATTATTTCAGTTGATACAGTGGTGTCTTGATTCGATGCAGTAAATATAAGCAGTGGCTGAAAATGTACCTTACATTAATTAATGTTAATATTTCTATTTTCAGTTTGTTAGAGCATTCAGCATGACAGAAGTGCTATATTTGAACTAAAGCTGTGCTTTACAGTGGTCCAAACAAACACTCTATTCACAAACTACTATGTTGAACCCAAGCTAACTTGCTAGCCACAATGCAACAGTATGATACTGTACAATATGATGAATCGATGAAATACAGTAGGTTGTGTTGTTGCATAAAAATAATAAAAGAAATAATAGTAGCAGCAACAATAACAATAATAATAATAATAATTATTATTATTATAAAAAGAAATAAGCGGCCAAAGAGGCACTGTGTAAAAAGCAAAAGAAATGCAAAAGTAAGCACAATATGACTGAGTCAATAAACTCTAAAAAGCATTCGTAAAAAATTCACATGTAAGTGTTTTTAAGTAATATATTACATTTTAAAGCTGTGTCTATCAATGAGTGTGTTTACATGCACATAATAATCCGATCGTTATCAGATTTCAGCAGTTTTGTGCTTATTCATGTGGTCGTGTAAACAGCACGCTCTTTCATAGATCAGAGTAAGGCCTAGAAATCTGATTAGGAAATCTGATAAAGAGAGCTGGATTTGAGCTCAGTAATGGGGTTTTCAGTGCATGTGTGCTCTTACTCTGATTTCTTTCACTTTTCTCAGTCTGTGCATGTGTGAAAACAGAATACTGTCCAGAAACAGCAAGCAGTGTTTAGCACAGCATCTGCGAGACAAGCTTGATTTTGAGTTTTACATTTTGTTTGCATCATGTCAATTTCTATGAGTTTATTGGTTGTTTGCAAAGGAGTAATCAGATTATTGCCTGATTCGTGCATATTCAGAGTTTTCCCATCATCTGATTACGAGTGCAGGTAAACGAGTAGAAATCATTACTGACAAAATGAGATTTTTTGCAGTTATCAGATCATTAAGTAAGTGTAAACACACTCATTCTTTTTTACGTTTTTACTAAACTCTCACAGTTTAAGAGGTGTAACTGACTGATCAAATATTTGGCTGTTTTTTTGCACTGAAAATCACTTTATTTATCACTGTTATTTGTTATTTTTTGTTTCAAAGTCCTCTCAGTACCAGGGTTTAATGTAAACATGCTTGTGTGATTTACATTTAGATCAGTTTTCTCACTGTTGCCTTTGTTGTGGAGAACAAGTCTCTCTTCCTTGGAGACGTGACCCAGTTTAACTCGCCCTGTGAGATTTGCGTGTGTTGTTCTTGAGACGGAGTGCTTTGCTGAAGTACGTCTTGATTTGTATTGCTTGATATGGGAGTTAATATAGATCTCCTGTAGCACTATCAGGGTCTCATAGTGTTACATTAGGGCAAATGGAGGGGGAAGTACAGTCTATCTGCAGTTTAGGTCAGTGCCGGAAACAACTGGGTAGGCAGAAATGGCCCAACATTGAACATTTTTACCCCTAAAACACAAAAATGACCAAAAATATACATGTAATATTTATTATATTCATATTATATGTTAAAATTCTAGTGCTGACATCATTGTAGGGGTGGGCAATATGGCAGAAACACATCACAATACTTCAAGACATTGTCACGGTACACAATATACAACACAATATTTTGTTTTTTCTGAGATTAAATAATTTGGAAGAGACAACATAGAACCTGTTGTGTCACATATAAAAATATAATAATAATAATAATAATAATAATAGTAATAGTAATAATAGTAATAGTAATAGTAAGAAATGTATAACTGTAATGATTTATATTCAGTTACAAGCTGTGCTCCACTAAATCCACTTAAACAGTCAAATTATGGTCACTTTAATGAAACGTGCGGTCAGTCAGTGCCCTTTAAGGACTGATGACGTCCACGATATACTTAGAAAAGCATATTGTGACATAATTTATCTCAATAGCGATAAAATATTGTCATATTGTCTAAATCCTGCATCATTTATCTAGACATATTTTTATTAAGTTAAAATAAGGGATGTGTGATGATATCACAGTCATATCAGTATCTTCACATAATTGCTTTAAAAATGATTGACATCAGACAGATGTTGCAGATGTTTCAAATGAACTTTAATGTTGCCACTTCCTTTTGCCAAAAACGTAGCTTCCCTTTGTGTTTCGGGTAGTGCGATAAAGTAGGTTTTACATTGGACGTTTACTGAAGATTTGACTTTCTGTCTGTGATATTTCTCATTAAATAAACTTCCCGAAATGATCAAACCTACGTTTTCTCACTCCTGAAAGACCCACAACAAAAACGTCCAGCGTTAAATTTAGCTGAAATAGACCACACATGCAGATCACCAGCGCTTTAGTCATTAAGGGTGTGTGTGTTTAAAGGGAGTTCCCCTCACGTCCCAAAAATACTGCATGGTTACATGGTGAAGATTTAAACAAAGTCGTTCAGAGTGGTTTGGTGTGAAATACTATGTTCTAGAGAAACTCACAGAGTCAGAATTGTTCTCAGTAGGAGTGACATCATCCAGATGTCTGAACACTTCAATGTCTCTAAAAGCTCCCACACAGAAAGTTATTATGAGAAGTGGTTATGAATGCACTGCCTGATGGCTGAGACAGTGTTTTACTTTGTATTTGATGTAAGGTTTCAACCTACAGAGTATTTTTTGAACTCCATTGATTGTGGAGGGGTCCATGCAAGGTGTTAGGGGTCAATATAGTCCCCAAACAACCCATCTTTTATCAGATTTTGCACTATTTTACCAATTATATGTGTATGTGTGTGTATATATATATATATATATATATATATATGGTTCTGGTTCCTGGTTCCTGTCATCACCACTGTAAAGAAATCTGAGTCAGTTTTCCTACAGTGAACTATTTCACATTAAACCTGAATGACTTTGTTTACATCTCAGTGACTGAATTATGCCGAAATGTGAAAAATAGGTGAAATTCCCCTTTAATGAGACCAAATGGAGAGGCTGGCTGTCTCAAAGAGCCTGATGCATTATTGCGTTATACAGTCAGGGTTGTCTGCGTGGCCTTTATCATATTCACGCTATTTTCCGAGACTTCCCACCCCCTATTGGTAGCAGGTGGAATTGCGCTGCCTTTATTGTGTGGGTCATTATTTTTATTTTTATTGTCCTTTTTCAAATATGAAGACAAGCAATATCAGAAACATTGGGATGTTTGAACTTGCAGGAAATATGGTACTGTGCAAAAGTCTGAAAAAATTAACCCGTAAAGCTGTCTGGCCAGTTGGGTGCTTATTTGTTTAAAAATAAAAACACTGTTATCAGGCTTTCTTTGACTGCCGGCATCATTTTGATTCAAATTTGCAAAATTCTGACGGCAGGACAAACACTTGGAGGCCTTTTCTAGATGATGCCTGCAGTTATTCAGGTTTCTAAAATTGCAGGGGATACCAGGGATGTACTCAGAATGGCATAATTTATCATGATAACGATAACACGTTGTATTATTGCCCACCTTTTTTTAATTCAAATGCAGTACAGTAGCTTTATTGCGCATATTTGTATTTCAAAGGTATTGCTGCCGATACCAATTTTAAGGCGCCAAAAATCAGATAACTGATGTTGGTTAAAATAATTTTGAATTTCTATTTTATGTATTAAATGTATTTTGTTTTACTAAACTTAAACTTACTGTAGTAGAAAGTGGTTTACCACCACAAAATAGACAACGTGACTTACAATCAGTGCAAATCATGCTAATGTTAGCATCTTTTGCTGAATAGCAGAGTCAGAGATGTTTCAGTCTGGTTCAAAAGGAAAATGAAAATGCAGCAGACCCTCGATCACCGCCCGCTCTCAAGTCCATTTCATCTGAAGTGGTCCGTTGCATCTGAAATAGTTTGTTTTCAAGGCAGCAGACATAAAGGAATGACCAGTCGTTTGGAGTTAGCCTAATCCTAACATGGACACCAGAGTGCTTCTGTTTACTCTCGCACCACCTGAGAAGCTGCTCAACTTGGTCAGCCACGTTGCACTTATAAGAAAAATGACTTACAAAATGTGGCAAATGTGGCTGAAGTTGACTTAGTTAAATTTCCCATTTCACCTTAAATGATGCAGCAGTAACCATCGATCCACACCAGAAGAAGCTCATGAAGGCACGTTTGCAGTAACACCCATTAAAACAACAGGTGAAGCAGTTTTCGAAAGATGTTGGTGCTGAATATTATATTATTTAATATGAGTTTTTTATTAGAGAGTTTCATTAAAAAAAGCACAAACTATAAATAGAACAGAAATGTGGTTAAAGCTGCAGCAGACTGTGTTTATTTGTTGGGGGAGGTGATATAATTGATAATTGCAATTTTTTAAGTGGAAAATATTGTGTTAATTATTTTTAGATATCAGGCCTAGTCAGCTGTAACACTTAATATTCCCCTGGGTGGATCCTCTAAAGTGTCTCGCTTCCTCAGAAGCAGCGTCCGCTGCTGACATCTGTGTCTCACTTCTGTAAAAGTCTGTAAAATGAAGTTGAGCATAATTGACTTGCTGTATTTAACCTCAAACCTCAGTGACGTGACAACTGAGAAATCATTTAGTCTTTGTTGCTAGAAAGTCAGTGATGTGCTGGAGTAATGGAGAACATAGAGAATTAACTTAGAAGAATAATCAATCAATCAATCAATCAATCAATCAACCTCTATTTAAACTCTGTGTACATTGAGGGAGACCCTCATTTACAGTGTAGCAGAGCCAATACAGAGATCAGGGATTGAGAAGTTAAATAGTAAAAACATACAAATGCTAAAAAGTAATAATAATCATAGTAGTAAATTAAAAATAATAAATCAATAAACCATTTATTACAACAATATAGTAACAAATATGTAAAAATGAGGTTAAATAAAAAATATAATTAGTGAAATAAATGAAGAAATAAAAGATGTAAAACACTAAAATGAGTGGAAGCTGAATTAACCCTCTTAGATTTAACACGTAAGCATACAAGCCTTAAAATACCACGTCTTACAATTTGTGCATTATTTCTTATCTCATTGAAACAAGCAGGGAATTTCTGTGAAAGATGCGGGTTCTAAACTTGTAAATCCATACCATAATTCCATAAATATTATATTTGTGTTTGTAAATAGGAGATATTTTATGATGATTGGAATTTGTGTGCACAGCTTTCTTTTGTGGAGAGAAAATTCTTTTCATTTTTGCCACATTTTTATCATTTTGTGACAAAATTACAGAAACATTTCAATACAGAATGTAAATCGGAAGTGAATTATTTATCTAACAATGTACTTAATTATGTAATTACATATCAATTATTATATAATGCAAATTGAGTGTATAGCTAGCAAAATTGCTATTGCGCACAGTGCTGATGTTCCACCTCAACAAAAGTACTGCAGTTGAGCCGCCCACCTTTAGGCCCGTTTACACCTTGCACCAGCATAGTGTTTTAGTGTTCGGACCACTTTCATATAAACAGCCCCCAGAGCGCTTTGAGATAGAATGTGGTCTGTGGTAATCCTGAGGTGGTGAGAAATGAGTCTTGACCACATTTAACTCAAGTGTAATTAAGTGGGCGGAAATGCTTCTGCCGAGCGCTGACTCAAAACTGAACTGTGTAGACATGCTTTTTACTCAGGGAGAGCAAATTCACATCTCGTGGTCAAACTGGGTTTGCGTTTTAGTCAAAGTGTGAGCATAATCCAGCCAAAGTATCCAGATCCTGGCACAGAACACGTCAATGCAAGGTGCAAATAAATCATAGACAACATATTAACCAGCGGAAGAAAACTTGCTCTGAACTGCTCTGAGCAGAATGAAGGTGAAAAAGGGTCAGATGCTTTACTTTTATGCTGCTTACTGGTGTTAACTTTTGGTCAGGCACTGCTGCCACATTAACACTGAATAATATTACATACACAGTGAAAAAAACACATGAATTCTGATCTGAATGTTCTCATTGAGGTTGCATGACCACGGATTGGCCACGTTTTGGATCTAAGAGTTTGAAAAAAGTCTGATTTGGATTTGTGCCATTTTAGGCTGGTAACATGAATGTTGCCTAATTTTATGTTCCACCTTAAGTAGCAAGTTACATGTAATTGCTGTGCTATTTAAGGTGAGATGGACCCCTACCCCTTGTTTTCGAGTGTCACTTTGCCCCTCGGAACTGAGTTACAAGGTAGTAGTGGTTGAAATCTTCCTCTATGAAATGGGACCCTCAAATAAAGAACATTACTTCATTAACAGCTACCAGCGCTGCTCTGTAGGTGACCCTGCCAGTCTGCAGTGACAGCAGAGGAGGGTAAAGTTCAGCTCCTCACTGCTGGGCATCATATGCCTTCAAAGGGGGGGCAATTATTTATTATCACCCACCCCTAATTTTTCTGTTATATGAAGCTGAAGTCAGCTATTCGCCAGCTGCTCGTTCTAAATTTCCTGTTCCACCTTAAATGGAGCAGCAGTTCCGATGTCTGAGGCGCCAGAATGTAACTGCTGCACCAGTTAAGGTGGAACAGGGAAATTTATCCAGCTAGTTACTGAGACATCAGCATAATATTAGCGATGTTTTTATGCTTATTATTAAGAAAAGGACCAGGATACCCTACCCCTAAACGTGATCGTGCAAAACAGAGGGCTAAGGGCTAAGTGGTAGGGGTGAGAGGTGAAATGGGATTTGGGCCCTTTCCTCGTGAAACATGAGCATTGACTGACCGATGTGCCATTCATGTTATTGATCTGAGGTTGGTCTATGTGTGCAGAACAGTGGTCAGTTCACTGAGGTGTTTGAGGCAGGGCCTCGCTCTGTCTCTGTTCAGCACTGTTTTGTCCTCCCCCAGTGTATATAAAGTCTTCATTGTCCTTGTAACCCCCCCTCCATATGTCCCTCCCCTCTGAGAGACGCATACACAGTTAGCGCAGCGTACAGACTTTCAGAGATACATATGACCACAAAACCCTAATACTAAAACTGGATTCTTATAGGATATATGGACTTATAATGGACTGAGCCTCTGACCACAGATTAAAGCCAGATCTTAGGCAGTTGTGGACTTTTCAGTGGGGACATTCAGCAGTTTTCTCAGCATGTATAATCCAGTGCTAAAGCGCTGCCTGCTTTGGGAATCGGTGCACCTGAAGAACTATTTTCAGTGTGAGGCCTAATAACTGATTTTATTTACTGCTCTTTTTGCAGATCATCTCCAGGAAGAATCCAGAAGACGTGCAGGAGGTGAGAACACGTCTGAAAACTGACCACACGCTGGTCTGGGATCAGTTTTTTTGGCATTTATCTCCTAATCAGTGCAGTTACGCTACTGTACACAAGTTTGCTTATAATAATATTTAATGAATTTTTCATATATATAGAAACGTGCAAATGACTTTGTTATGGTGAGCGTGCTCTGCAACTTTGTAGTTTTCAAATAATAAGTAGGAATCTGTTAAAAATGTAGAAATCTTAGATGTTTGAGATGCTGCATAACATCAAGAAAATTATAATTATATAGTAAAATTATAAGAATAATAAGCAACATTATTATTAAGAAAATTAATATCCCTAATGAAGTTAGAATAAAATGATTGTACATTGTTTATGTAACCATTATACTACTAGCGGTTTGTGTGCTTGTTATGACAAAAAGGACCATGATACATTGAAACAGCATTAAACTAAGATAATACAGTGGTTATTGTAACTTTTAACAGAGAAAATTCTCACACTGGTGGGTTTCTTTGGTCTCTTGTGCTCCATCTTGCCAGTTTTTCTTTTTTTCATAACACTGTTTGGCGTGTCTCTCTGAAAAGCCTCTGTTTGGAGGGCCATGTGGCCCCAACACTTCGCCCTACCCGCCGGTCTCAACAAGAATCGGGACACCCTATGCCTAGACGTTAACACATAAAATGGATGGGTAGGGCTAAGTGGTAGGGGCGAGGGGTGCAGTGGGTTTGGGCCTAGATCTCCAGGAAGAGGGTTGGTGACCACCGGTGTGTAGTAGTATATGGTTTGAGATGCAGCTGGTGCAATAATGTGAAATTTGACGCTGTTGCCTTTGCAGTAAAACACTGTATATTTGCAGTCAACAAAGGATTTATAATTAATTTGATGGGTTTGTATGCCTTAGTCTATATTCTCTCATCTGTTCCATTAGGTTACTGAATAACTGCTGCTAAAATATTGTCCGACTCGCTGAAATAGCCAAAAAAGATATACCGGACTGGCAGAAACGAAATGCAGTCCAGTAGAAATACTCCAAACTTTGTTTGTGTTTTGTCTTATTGTTCTCATAACGACGTCAGACTGAAATAGGTACTTATTTAGTCTGAGAAAAGTAGGTATAGGGGGTTATTTTGTCAAAATTATCTTTAAAATTAAAGTTTAAAATTGTCTTAAAATTTCATAGTAGTAAGAATGACTGTTTTGACATTCATGGTTTTAAATACTGATTGATGTGATCAAGGCTAAAACGATAACACGAGTATGAGCTCTTGGCTTTTAGTACTTGCCGATGCTGTTATCGATAACACACTAAGTAACCTACTTAGAAATAAGTAGTTGTTAATGTAAATGAGTGAAGTGTACCTCAACAGTTAAATCCTTAAAACATAGCTGACTTTACATTAAGTGCACTAGCTAGCTATGCTACGTTAGTTACCTTGGATTGAGTACCATCGCAGTGGAAGAGTGGGTTTTGTTCCATGTCAGTATGTAGGTAGAGTACATTTCATAGTTTTGATCCTCAACTAACAACAGTCTCTGTAGCACACTGACGGCAGGAATCGGATCCGAGGCTGATGTGAGGACGTTTGGAGTTTTACACCTTGTGCATGGTATAACAGAAATGGTACGTGGTAGGACAATACAGTCTCTACAGCCTATTTTATTAAGACAATTTAAAAAAAATCACTATATTAAAGTTTTAACTTTGCAGATCTGTTCAGTAAAACAGAATAAAGGCAGCACATACAGACTTTGGTAGCAAACATACGTCCACCTGTGTTGGAAAAGTGGTTGTGATTGTGATGGTGTGTGTTTAAAAGTGGCCTAAATTCGCACAGTGTATTCCTGGTGAGAATATACTAAGGCAGAATGTTTAAAGTGACCGATGGGTTTGCGTCCCGACTGTCATGGTGTCAGTAGCCCTTCTCTGTGTGACCCTCGTACACTGCCAGCTTCATTAGTGTACACTAGGCTTACTTCACATGGTATCAGGTGGTATCAGATGTTGGTATCGGTGCTGTATCAGGCCGATGCATCCCTAGATGTTACTGTTGGTTGTCAAGCATGATGGTTCTCCCTGGTCATGTTCCTTAAATTGAAATAAGCAGCAGAAACTTAGTCTCAAATATAAATATTGTAACACTAGAGACAGGACTACCCAGATTTCTTTGTTTTCTGTTTTTTATAACGTTATAATGATGTTGCTAGTTCTAATCTTGCGCTGTACCTTTCTCCACTAACCCATTTCAGCATGGCCTGCTGTTCCTACTTAAACAAGACAAGATAAATATTCTTTCTGCTCAGAAACTTGTAAGCTGGCATTGTTTTTGAACTAGTTTGGTTGGTTTAGCTGTGGGTTTAATAAATTGTGTTCACAGCCTTTAAATCTCTTCTGGTTGAAATAATAAACCGACTAAAGTTTAACAATGTGAACCATTTATCGTGGAGTCAGAGGTCTGTGGAACTACACACACTAGGAAAGTGGATGTGCCCTAATGTGGTAGGCGTGATTTTGATTATGAAGTGTGTCGGTGTGGGCTGGACTGAATGGCCCGCAAACACACATAGACGTCTCTGTTGTTGGGTTCATTTGGTCTGGAGGACGGGCGATGGGTCTCGTGCTACACAGAGAGTCTCGTGCCACATCTGCAAAAGGACTGGTTTTTCTGTACGTTTGTATGATTTTTTTACGTTAGTTTTATTTAATGCTTTTGTGCTTTTATGTATGCTCTCAGTATGTGCGTTGAAACCAGATTTGCCCTTGTAAGACATAGATGGATGAGTGAATGAGTTTTCAGCCATTCCCATTTGGACTTTTACTCTATTGACAGTGTAAAATTTTAATGCATGCCTTGAATTTATTGACGGTGCTGCGACCTGGGTTCAGTTCCCGGCTGGGTGACCAGAGTCCTTTCTGTGTGGAGTTTGCATGACCCTCCTGTGTCTGTTTGGGTTTCTTCTGGGTGCTTCAGTTTCCTTCCACAGTCCAAAGACATGCAGTCAGACGATTTGGAGACTCTAAATTGCCCCTGTGTGTGTGTGTGTGTGTGTGTGTGTGTGTGTGTGTGTGTGTGTGTGTGTGTGTGTGTGTGTGTTTGTGTGATTTTCTTTTTTATATACTATTGGAAGTTCACTGATGTCAAACTTTAGTTGCGTAGTTACTGTTTACTGTTTACTTTTTTAAAACTGCTCAATGTAATTTTGTTAAAATTGAAAAAAGTAACATTACTGAGTCTGAAAAAAAAAACATGCAATATTGTAGTGGGAGTCCATCACCCTCTAAAGCCCTGTGTGTCAAAGACAAGGCCCGCAACAAAATCCTTTCCAGCCCGCAAAAGTATTTTAATTTTTTTTTATTAATATTAGCCTGGGCACTGCACTACAGATCCCAGCATGCACTGCAACGTTATGTGCACTCTGACTTTCCTACCCCAACAACAGTCTATGGGACAGTGGTTACACCTCAATTGTACACAATTCTGTGTAATTCCACACCAGTCATATCACCAAAATGCATTTCTGCTGCAGTTCAACCAATATAAACACTTAACGTCAGCTCAGCAGCTCAGAAACTGAGCCCAAGTATTAATGAAAGGCAAAGAAAGGCTGTCAGGTGTCTAGCTCAAGCAGATGGGGAGGTTTAAAGACTGAGCTCCTGGGGACATTTTAGTTTTAAATATTTCAAATGTCCATGTAACATTTCAGGATCTACTACAAGTGTCTGTATTTTACTGTTGACGTTTTTGCATATTTTTGAATAAACAGTGGTCAGTTGGGGTTACAGGACAACTTAATTAAAAATATATTTTTTTTTTCCTCTGGCCCACAGATTTGATGAGATATTCTAATATGGCCCTTTTACTCGTTGAGTTTGACACCGCTGCTCTAAAGCCTTAAATAATAATGTAGAACACAGAGGTCGGATTTGGTGGAAGTTTTTCAGACCATGTAATTCGTCTTCACATATTGATGCCTCACACATTTGTTAACTTCAGGGCAGAATAACTGCAATTTTTGAAAAAAAACTCTCTTTTTTGTCATAGAAAAATCCAGCTTAGAGTTTGTGATATATGTACATATATGTATAGTATATGCTGATATGCATATATAATATGTACTAACATGACCCTGGCTACAGACAACACGACTGTATGGCATTAACAAACAATGTATTGTGCAGCTCTGCCTTTATAGTGAAAGTAACAAAATGAAAGAGACGACGCTATAATCTCTCTCTCTCTCTCTCTCTCTCTCTCTCTCTCTCTCTCTCTCTCTCTCTCTCTCTCTCTAGATTACAGTATGGAAGAGGTACAGTGATTTCAAGAAGCTGCACAAAGATCTCTGGCAGATCCACAGAAACCTCTACAGACAGTCTGAGCTTTTCCCGCCATTCGCCAAAGCCAAAGTCTTCGGTAAGCTGTGTGTGTGTGTGTGTGTGTGTGTGTGTGTGTGTGTGTGTGTGTGTGTGCCCGAGAATACCTTCTTGAGTCTTCGAGCTGTTCAGTCATGCCAGGTTGGTTTGTTGGCTGTATTTTCTGCCCTTGTCTTATCTGAAGATCTCAGCACTGATATGCAGGTTTAAATGCATTCGTGTCTGTCATAAAATCTTTATTTCCCACCTTTCACTATGTCCTGCTACAAACCACTGGTTTCCTCTGATCCAGGTCCTTTAATATTGATTATTTACTGATACCGAGTCTGATCTGATCAGGACACAGTGCAAGTGTATTTGTATAACAATGCACTTTAGCTACGAAATGCCAGGCTGCTCTCAGATTTTAGAGTAAAATCACTTTGACACAGTCTGAACTGATGTTTTGTTATTTGTTTGACTCCCTCTGATAAATAACCGTTTTATAAGCTGTATTTTAGTGGTTCTAATGTGTGAAGTGCTCTTTTTTGCCAAGCAGTCTTTACTTTCACAAAGATGGTTTTCGTTTTCACTCCTAACTACAAGCGACTCCATGCAGTTTGATCCTATTACAGGAAAATACCTTCACTGTGTGCAAAAGAAAAGCATGTATGAAATGTGTGTGTGTGTGTGTGTGTGTGTGTGTGTGTGTGTGTGTGTGTGTGTTCAGGCCGGTTTGATGAGTCTGTGATTGAGGAGAGGCGACAGTGTTCAGAAGATTTGCTGCAGTTCAGTGCGAACATTCCAGCTCTCTACGGCAGCCAATACATACAGGACTTCTTTAAGGTACAGACACACACACACACACCACACACACACACACACACACACACACACCACACACACACACACACCACACACACACACACACACTGATTTCAATAATAGTAAAATATTTCCCAATAATGTTATGTATATGTTGTGTACTATGCAAAAACCAGACACCAACTTTCCTTTAATTTCCAGTCAAAATGCCCATTAAGTAGAAGTTATTAAAGTGATATTGCTAAGCTGATTAGATATAAGATTAGACAAGATTAGATATAGACGTGTGTGAGGACAGGGAAAGTCAAAGGAAAAAAAAAAGGGGTTTCCAAAACTAGAGTTAAAAAAGATTAGGAACTGCAGAGAAAATGGGACTCCTGGACGACCACCTGGAAGACCTGGTGGACCAAGAAAACTGCCCCCATCAGATAAACAGCACTTAAAGCTTTCATCTCTGAGAGAGAGGAGAAAATCAAGCTGCTTCAGATCTGAAAACATCCACAGGTGTTTCTGTCCATCCTTCCACTGTGAGAAGACGACTCAGCGCTGTGGGTCTGAAAGGATGTGTAGCTGTCAAGAAGAGCCTCACTGAGAAGAGGAGACGGACACATCAAACAAAGAAGCTGAACAATGGACTGACCACCCCAGAGTCCAGACCTCAACATCACTGAATGTGTTTGATTACTTCAGAAAATGATCAACCAACTTCTAAGACTGAACTCTGGAGGTGTGTCTGCAGATTCTTTGAGGAACTGGAAGTGAGTCACCTGAAAAGAGTGGAAGCTGTAATAAAGGCAAAGAGTGACACACTAATATTAAAAAAATACCTTTAGTTCAGGTTTGTGTGTGATTTTCTGTGTGTTTTCTGCATTTGCTTTAACTGGAAATTAACAAAATGAAAGGTCTCTGAGTTTTGCACTGTACTAAATGTGAGTATCTATATGAAATATGACAGCTAAAGGCTATTTTTGTTGGTTCTGTTAGTTTAGACTGTTTTTCCTCTGGTTTAAATACACAGTCAGGACTTTTCAGTCCTAAAAATGTACAGAAACCAAAAACACACGCACACACACAGCCAGAGTTTGAGAGTTGCCGTCAGTCTGGTTATGCAAGACTCATTTGTTCCACATACAAAGAGCAGTTCTTTAAGAAAGCGCCCTCGTGTACACTCAGTCAGCGAGAATCCTCCTCGGTACACACGCATGGTTTCTCTGAGTCTCTCTCACACACACACATAAGCGCGCACACACACACGCTGGGTCTCCTTCACTTCCTGCATTCTGGTTTCTGTTGCTGTCACTGTCTGCTATGTGTTCTCCCTGTCTTTAACTGATTTCTCAGTGGCACTGGCCAGGACTTTAATGGCTTTGTTTGTTTGTTTGTTTCTTTCTTTGTTAGGACGGTGAGGTACAGGACGGTTCTGAGCTCATCGGGCCGGCGGAGCCTTTCTCCGACTTCTTGGCCGACAGCTTATCAGACAGCAGCTCTGAAGGTGTGTACGTGTGGCTTTAGTGCAGTGCTCTGATGTTGTCACTACTGGCCATATAGTGCCCATTCTGCTCTGCTTCAAAAGGAAAAGTGGCCAGCAGAGGGCACTCTTACACCAGCGTCCACTCCTTATTGCACCACTTATATCAACATTGCTGTAGGAGACTTTTGCTTTCAGATTAGATATGGAGGGTAGTGGAGCTTCTTGACCGTATCTTTGCTGTAAGTTTTAGTTTACAGTATTCATATCATTTGTGTTGTGAACGGTGTTAGTGGTCAGAAAAGTTCTTCGTAATTGGATTTCTGACCAATTAAGCACCATGACACTTGAAGACAGTTTCACTACACACAGTATATATCACGATTTCTGTCTGTAGTACCAGCAAAGCAGTAATACCAAAAAGCTATAAAAAACCACGATCACAATTATTTATTTTTTTATTCTCTGCTTGGCAAAATAAATTTAAGAAGGAACAAAGTAAAAATGAGTTAGTAGAAATAAAATAATAGGTGTACTGAGCTGAAATTCAGTCAGCTACTTGTTACTATGCAGTGTAGGCAGTTACTATACAGTAGTTAGTTTCCACAACTGATTAGTTCAAAAGCATTCTGCGTTTTTTTCATCATAACTGTATCATTCTGGACACCGGTCACTAAATATCGACTCACTTTAGTCTTCAAAATGTTGTTATAAGGAGTGTTTCAGTCTGGTCTACTTTATAGATGAGGTGAAGTATAAGGCGGCCAATCAGAACAGAGCTCATCTACATATATCAGTCTTAAAGACACATCAACAAAACACATCCTGTTTAATGCTAACTTATTAAGGCTGCAAAACAGTCACGTAAACGTAAATGACATGGTACATACAAATCATATGAAACATATGAAAAAAAGATACACAGTACTTCAAGAACTCTTCATGATACATGATGGACATCTGATCCGTTGGAACAGTAAGAACTAGTTGTGCCACATTTAAAACAAATACTATCAGAAACTGGAAATACAATGATTTGTTTGTATTAAAATGATGATGTTTATTGTTATTGTGATAAATTACATCACAATATGATTTTTGAGCATATCATGGAAATGGTCAGTTCATTAAAAACACTTCCCCAAAAAGCATGTTTGATTAGTGGGATAGTATTTGATAGCATTATTTACGTGTGGCACTACTTTGACTTTTCCAATCTACCAGATTTCAGGAAAAAGTCATATATATCATAACTTGACTTTTATTGACCTCAGACAGCAAAATATACAAGAGAAGTCTAGGATATGGGCCCTTTAAGGTATGCTTGATACTGTGGTAGTTACCCTCATTTCTATGGCTCTTAAAGACACATTGTGCATTGATTTACTTGGATGTTATATTTAATGGATGTTAGATTTAATGATGTTATATTCCCAACACCTACTAACAAACGAGTCAGACTACTCCCTTATATTTCAGAGCGTACAATTAATGCGATGAAATCGGTCACTTAGTTAAGTGGTATCAGCTCTGCTCCTGCTATTACTCACCTGATACAGCTTATGAGGTGATTATCCTGCCCTTTGTGTGTTGAAGTAGGTATATTAGAGATATTAGAGGTATATAAAGAAGGAAAGCACTTAAAGGTGATTGAGGTGCTCCAGGACCAGGATTCAGAACTGCTGAGTTTGTAGAAGTGTTATGTCTCCCCTTTTGAATACCAACACTGTCTTTTGCACTCGGCTCCTTTTTAAGCTCTCTCAAACTTTCTTTTTCACTTTCTCATCTGTGCAGTTCACAAGGACATTGGTGGAGTGGATGATTTGACAGTAACCAGTCAGTCCGAGTATGGAGGTGAGTGTGGAACCACTGCAGTGAAGCGACGTTCATGTATGTTTTAAAGGGCCCATATAGAAATCTGACTTTTTCTTTCCTTTTAAATATAATAATTAAATAAAGTCCATATATAGAAACTTCAGTTAAAAAAACAGCTCATTCTCAAATTCAGATTTTTTATGATGTCACAAAAATCAGCATATTTACATATTTCTGCCTTTTCAGGCTACAGCAGTGTAGCCCTGCCTATTCGGGCTGAAGTTATTAGCCCAGACTGCTTTTTTAAGATGACACAATACAGGGCAGCCAATCAAAATGCAGCTAAGTTACATATCAGTCTTAAAGGGACAGTGACAAAAACAGCCTGTTTAATGCTAAGGAGTAAAGAGAGGGTGGAAAATCACCATGTAGAAATGAGTTATGACTATTTTTGATTCATAAAACAACTCAAACTTTGTAAGTGGACCTCAGGAAGAAACAAAAAATGCAAAAAAGTGTCACTTTAACTAAAGAATTTTTAAATGATGATGTGAAAAAAGTTATTGCTGCTCATGTTGGGCTGAACGGCCACATCTTAGCGGAGTTACACATGAAAATATATTGAACAAAAACATTTCAGTGCTATTCATTTAAAATGGCTATATTTTTAAATAGCTGAACTAGTTGAAATGCCCATTCTTATCATTTTCAGCCAATCCTAGGCCACATGGATGCCCTCTCCGTTTGCTCTGTAGAGCAGTGGTGAAGATATGCTGCAAAAACACTACTATAAATGTGCTTATTAGTCACACTGAAGCTCTTTTGTGGTGTACCACTCTATATATATCCACTGTCTTTTTCAGGGCCGTCCAGTGACAGCGATTTAATTTCTCTGCTGGTTGATGGAGACTCCCTAGCTGAGCTGGACGATGGAATGGCCTCAGGTGGAAGTTCTCCAAACCACCCAGCAGGGGGCAGCAGGCGGGACGTGTCCCCCAGCAAGCCAGAGCTAGAGCCTGGCTGGGCCGGCAGGGCAGCGCTGTTCCCCTCCAGCCTCCGCAAGAAGGATTATCTGGAGAAAGCGAGCGAGCAGATCGGATTGGCCGTCCAGAAAGAGGTGGAGCAGGACTTCGCTGCTGCGTTTTCTTACTACCGCAGCGGAGTGGATCTACTACTGCAGGGAGTCCAAGGTATATACACACACGGGTTTGTTTTTATACCTTTTCAAGACATTGGGTCACATGTGTGTCCAATATATATGATGTGCAAGTAGCTGTATGTAACTATGTCCTGTATGCGTTGTATACAGTACTGTCACCTAAGCATGTTGTTTGAACTTTGCATCTGTCAAGAAGTGTTGCCAGTAAAATTTAATAACAGTTAAAAGTAACAAGAATTTTGTATTTTGATCATAGTAGTTGATAACTAGCTAGTTCGAGGAACAAAATGTGGTTCCAGATTTCTCCTGGACACCCCAAGCCATCACATCGATTTCTTAAAGGACCCATAACATGCAAAACTGAATTTTCCTCACTTTTTTGGTATAGAAGACTTTGACGTAGTGTATAAACATCGCTAAAGCTGTGAAATTTCCCCAGTCCATATGTAGAAATACCCTGTATTAAATAGGGCTGATTTGATAGTCGAATAATCTATCGATTACTGAAATGAATAATTGATTATTCGGATCACGAATCACTATGAATCATTACCAAATAACTCTTATGTAGCTATTAGCTTTGAAGACAATAAGGATGAATAACATTCAAGAATTCACTGTGCAAAGTAGCAGCAATAAAATATAACCAAACTAAATCAGTTTTCCTTTAATCAAGTGAATAAAAAAAAATATGTAAATTTAAAATTTAAACAGTGCAGTCTGTGCTTTGTGCATTCTGCTGTCTGTCTACACTCTGTTGTAACTAAATTCTACAATCACAGGTCTTTATTGAAACGGAGGAAAGTCGGTGTTCCTGTGAGAGGCCGGATCTCTCTGTGCTCCTGTGAGAGGCCGGATCTCCTCTGAGAGCAGATATTCCGCTGCAGGGAAGATGCGCTCTCACGGGGCGGATGAGAAAGCGGCGAACGTTTGTGACAAACTTCTCTATGAACAGTTAAATGAACGATTTCGTGCAAACACTTAATTTCAGCGGTAACCGTTCGTTCAGCTGCCCTGTATGTTCACGGAGAACTAACTCCTGTTTGTGAGTGGTGGAAAACTTTCATGGAAAACTTTCGTGGAAAACAGAAAACAGTTCGCAAACGTTCTGTGTTTGCTGAATTTGAACTCACCGGTAGCCTCGACGTTAAGACAACGATGCAGTGTTTAAAACTGTAAACGTTTATCTGAAAGTGAGCAGGGTCTCTGTGAATAATAGTTAGTTGCTTCTCTGTTCCAACTTCATTAACGGTTCAAGAGAACACGCAAATATTATTTCGGAATAGAAAATGTTACATTTCAGCTCAGAACATGAAGTAGGACAGCTTTTAACATTAACATTAGCTAACCAGCTCGCTAGCACAGCTGTCGCCGTGTCCCAAACCACACACTTCTGTACCTCACACACTACACTAATGAGTGCACTTCCAATGGTGTATGTCAGGGGTGTTTAATTAAAATTCAGTAAATTTCCTCAAGCAAAGGTCCAGAACATCATAATGTCTAACCTGCATCATGGCTCAGTGCAACACTCACTCGAGTCTCAGTGCTCATCGTAAGGCACAGATCTGATTGGCTGAGTAGCGCCACGTGTGGTATTTACAATGCATGCGATTGGTCTGGGAGTTTCCCGGGCCACTAAAACGGTACCATAATGACTAGAAATAATACGCCGATTAAAATAGGACCACCCCCTCGAAATGAAATCATTCTCCATAGTTTATCAGTTGTAGGTCCAGGTACGTATAGGACAGCGTCTGGATCTGGACTCGGACCGGATCCGCCTATTAGTGACCTCTGGTATATGTGCTATTTTTACACACTATTTAGTGTGCTAGTATGCAGTTTGGGACCAGGTGTATCTTAGATGAATCTTCTTTACCCAGTGAACTTCAATGAGAGATACAAATGGCACAACTGACAACCTTTTTTTTCGGAGTTTAGTGTGAGGTGCTGCCACACTTTTGATGATTTTGTTCTTGAGACTGACATCGCGCTTTTGTTAGCTACTCTCCAGTAAGCGATGATGTCAAAACATTCCTGGTGAGCGCGAGAAACACGCGTAACGACGTCACCAACTCATCGACTATCAAATTAGTTGGCAACTAATTTGGTCGTCGAGTTTAGTCGACTAAGTTGAATAATCGCTGCACCCCTTGTTTTAAATTCCTTGTTTCGGTGATGTCACAAAAACCAATAAGTTTACATTCACCGACTAGTCATAACATTATGACCACCTCCTTGTTTCTACGCTCATTGTCCATTTTATCAGCTCCACTTACTATATAGGTGCACTTTGTAGTTCTACAGTTACAGACTGTAGTCCATCTGTTTCTCTGATACTTTGTTAGCCCCCTTTTACCCTGTTCTTCAGTGGTCAGGACCCCCATGGACCCTCACAGAGCAGGTACTATTTGGGTGGTGGATCATTCTCAGCACTGCAGTAACACTGACGTGGTGGTGGTGTGTTAGTGTGTGTTGTGCTGGTGCGAGTGGATCAGACACAGCAGTGCTGCTGGAGTTTTTAAACACATCAGTGTCACTGCTGGACTGAGAATAGTCCACCAACCAAAGATACTCATCCAACAGCGTCCTGTGGGCAGCGTCCTGTGGGCAGCGTCCTGTGACCACTGATGAAGGACTAGAGGATGACCAACACAAACTGTGCAGCAGCAGATGAGCTATCGTCTCTGACTTTACATCTACATGGTGGACTGACAAGGTAGGAGTGTCTAATAGAGTGGACAGTGAGTGGACACAGTGTTTAAAAACCCCAGCAGCACTGCTGTGTCTGATCCACTCGTACCAGCACAACCTATAGTAACACACCACCACCAGTGTTACTGCAGTGCTGAGAATGATCCACCACCCAAATAGTACCTGCTCTGTGAGGGTCCATGGGGTCCTGACCACTGAAGAACAGGGTAAAAGGGGGCTAACAAAGTATGCAGAGAAACAGATGGACTACAGTCTGTAACTGTAGAACTACAAAGTGCACCTATACAGTAAGTGGAGCTGATAAAATGGACAATGAGCATAGAAACAAGGAGGTGGTCATAATGTTATGCCTGATCGGTGTATATCCCACAGCCATTTAGCCCCACCCATTCACATTGAAGTTATAAGGAGTGGGCAGAGGGTGGAGCTAAACTGCTGTAGTCTGAATAGGTGGATAAATGTATATGTATTGGTTTTCATGACATCACTAAAACAATGAATTTAAAACAATTTGTGAACTTGGGGCTGAAAGGTTCCTTTTTGAATCTTGTTTACAATGTAAATGTTTACATACTCAAACTTTTTTTTTTCCCCAAAATAAATAAGAAAAATGAGTTTTTGTACGATATGGGCCCTTTAACAAAAATCATTGTGTGTTTAGGCCGCTGGGGTGGTGCTCTAGCTGGCATTAAACGCTGCCTGATGGCTTCTCTGGCATCGCTCTCGCACCTTATTGTTCTTAAACCAGCGCTGCGCTGTGTTTACCTGGCGCGATCTGAATGCTTCGGCTTGTTTGTTTGCGCTTGTTTACTCGTTAATGTGTTTGTGTTTGTTTACGGGTGTGCGGCGGCTCCTGGTGAGCGGAGGTGAGCGAGAGCGGAGTTATTACAGATGATAAAACAGCCGAAGGCCGCCGTCGCCGTGCAGCTAAACCCTGCAGGGCTGCTTTTGTGAATGGTTTCGGCTGCAGCTTTTAATACCTGCCAGGCCTCTTTAGCTCTGTGTGTAGCAGAAAGCGAGACAATGGAGGGAGAAAAGGAGGAATACGAGAGCGTTCTGCTGCCATTCGTTCTCCTTTGTTTTGAATGTACTCTCATTGCTGAAACTGTTGTCGGATTGAGAGTCTTTTAAAGCAGGAGTTTGGCCACAAATCAGATTTACAGGTTTTTCTCATTACCTGTGGAGCAGCCAGTCAGCGAAGCCCTGATTGATTTCCGAAAGTTCCCTTTTTTGGTTTTGCACTGGAGGCTAAAGTAGCTAACAAGTATTGGAAACGTATGCCTGAGCCAATTAGCTCTGTATTCCTCCTTTTCTCCCTCCATTGTCTTATTTTCTGCTACACATGGAGCTAAAGAGGCCTGGCAGCTATTAGAAGCTCCAGCTGTCTATTAAAATGCTGCTAAACTATAAACTGGCTGCTGCAACTGTTTTTACCTATGTAAGATGCTTTTGTCCATTTTTTTTTTTTGGTAAATAATAGTATGACGTAAGCGTACACAACACCGTGTAGCGTCATACCCACTGCATACTTAAATCATCGCACTCTTGCCTCAAACCGTGTTGAATTGTTGAAGGAGAATTCCAACCATTTTTCCAATTTTCTACATTATTAAGTTTTTAGGATATAAACAAAGTCGTTCAGAGTGGTTTGGTGTGAAATGCTTTGCTCTAGAGAAACTTACCAAGTCAAAATTGTTCACATTGGTGGTGATGGGAAGCGTTTAATGTCTCGAAAGGCTCCCTCACAGAGTTTGCATAAATGGTTATGAATGGACTGCCTGATGCCTGAGACTGTTTTATGATAGTTTTGAGAAGATTTTGGCCTACAGTGTTATTATTAAAACACACTCACAGCAGAGAAGGTACCCACTGTTATTGTATAGCAGAGAGGTACATGCTGTGCGTTCTAAGGCAAAATAGTACCCAAAAAAAACATTTTATTCAGATTTAACAACATTTTAGCTTCATCATTGTCATTACACATGAAAACCCAGAGGACGTGTGGGTTCACTGGTCATTTTGGCTGTGTTTACATTGTGGATATTGTTACCTCTGGTTCCTGTCGCCACTATTGCAAAGAAAATCTGGCAGTAAGTTTGTCTACAGTGTAGGCCTGGGCGATATCTGAAAGGAATGAGTATGTTATTTTCTAGATAAAAAAATCATAATCACTGATTAGATGACATAACAGATACATACATTCTTCTGCAGCTTTGGCCTGCTTTCTGTTCTGTATGTACTTGTTTGAACATCAATGGTTTTAATCAAAAACTTTAATAAAACCACATAATAAATGATATAAAACTGAGGAACCCAACATCTTTTGAACACTGCTTAGCCTGCCGTTATAATAGACATTACTGCAAACATGCATTCATGAATCATTTTTGGTGCAGATTTAAGGCAATTTGCATGCTAATAGCGCTCCCTGCTGGAGAAACTTCACACTGCATGTGATTTTCAAAGCCGTGTCTACATGCTTCACATATTAAAAAACAAGGCATTTTCATAATTGAGCTAACTAACCACCGGTGCACTGAGACTGGACTGAAAATACTGCAAATTTTAGCGAGACAGTGGGTAATTTACTGTATCGTAGCCTTTAAAAGTCCCCTCTACAACTCAGTGTTTTAACAGTAAAAGTGAAGAAAACATTATGCGCATATATTATGGAATATTATTAATTACCTGTTTCTGATCCTGTTTCCCGACTGTAGACGGGTACCAGAGGAACTTTTTTTCGCTCCTCTGCAGTAAAACCCAGTCTCTTTAAAGCAAGCTGAAGTTTTAAAGCACAACAGCATTTATTTTCAGTTTTGTTCACTCATTATACGCTTAATGTAAAGCAAAAAAGAAGTAGAAAGTGAAGAGTTGTGTCGTAAAGCTAGTCTCACAGTGCACAGCAGAGAGAACAAACAGGCAGCTTCTTAACAAACCTCTCTCACTCTCACTCTCTAACTCACTCTCACTCTCTAACTCACTTTTGGGGCACACGCCTGCGCACCTCTTAGAAAAACTTTCTTTTCTCAAAACGCTGATTATCGCCTTTTACACATCGTCATCGTGTTACCTGTCCACTATCGACGATATCCACTTACATCGCACTGTCGCCCAGGACGACAGTCTTAAATAAAAGGTGGTGCTTGCAGGGTTTTAGTAACGAAAAACAGTTCTATGAACACTCAAAGAGCGCTTTGCATGATTAAAGGATTCTTTGCATCATGAAAAGGTTCTTCAGACTGACGGAAAATGTGCTATAGATGGTTCTATGCAGAATCATTTTGAAAATGGTTCTATACAACACCCAAAAGGGTTCTTCTATTGTCACAGTGTCAAGCTTGTAACAGTAGAAGAACCCTTTTGGCTGCTGTGTAGAACCCTTTTCAAAAAGCCGCTTTTCTCGCATCTCCAGCAGGAAACTTTTCCTCGAAAGTGGAATAGTTTCTTGTAAAATGTCTCACAACGTTTGATTTTCTACGAGGCTGAAGTCGCTTCTCATTCGCCAGCTTCTTGTTCGAATTTTCAGGTTCCACCTTAAATTGTGCCTGGGGTGCCAGAATGTAGCTGCTGCACCATTTAAGCTGGAACAGGAAAATAAGAGCAAGAAGTTGGCGAATGAGAAGCGACTTCAGCCTCACGACTTCTTGTTTGACAGTTTCTTGCAGATTAAACGTATCAGGAAAACAGCTGGAGTGATTATAAACACAAATAAGTCCATTAATCTCCAAATTATCGATGTTCGTCGTACATCTCTCTCTTTTCCCTTTCGTTAGCTGGAAGCTAGGCGAGACTTTTATCTAGGTTGCTATTGGCGCGCCAGTCTCAGGGGTTAAAGGATGCATCAGCAGTTCTACATTAACTCCAGTGTTTAAGACCATTTGTTGTTAAAACTGTGTTAAAATGATCAGCAGAGCTTCATTTTACTGCAAAATCTTACTCACTCGTTTACTCTTGTGTGTCTGTATCAGGTGAGGTGAGTCCGAGCAGGAGAGAGGCTGTGAAGAGGAAGACAGCCGAGTATCTGATGCGCGCTGAGCTCATCTCCAACACGCACCTCAAAGACAGCATGGGACAGAGCTCCACTCAGAACCGGGTCAGCACCGGGTCATATTTTCTTATCGCAGCCCAGTATTATTAACTGTATTTACAATCAAATACATGTTTATAAATGTATGTTTATAACTCTCTCTCTGTCTCCCTCTGTAGGCACTGGCTGCTCAGTGTTGTAAGGGGTCGTGGGGTCAGCAGAGTCAGTCTGATGAACTTCACAACTACAGAGTGCTAGGGGTCATCGACAAGGTGAGCTCAGGCGCTCCTGAGGTCCTTCGGTCCTTTAATTATATGCTGGAAGCGTGTGTTTGTGTGTGAGAGAGAACTCATACTCTATTCATATTCATTTAGGCAGCACCTGTTCAGCTTTCAGCTTTCTCAAGGGGCTTTTACATACACACACACACACACACACACACACACACACACACACACAAACACACACATACACACACACTGAGCAATGAAGACATCTAAGAGTGCAGACGTGTCGCTGGTAGCTGAGAAGGACTGTGTTCTTTATTCTGTAAACATTTACTCTTTTATAGAGATTCAAATTTATGTTTATATATATTTTTGTATTTTCAGATTCCGATGTAAATCCATGCAGCTTTAGTTAGATTTTGTTGACAGTAGGATTTGGTTAAATTAAAATGTTTCCCTCTTAAATGCACCTAAATAACAAAAGAGATTGGAACTATTAAAACTGTTTACACAGTAGTGGAATATAGACAATTATATCAATACACTAAGTTTATTTTTATGCTATTTTTTTGTCCAGTATATTTAATTTGACCAAATTGTTTTTTGATTATAATTCATTCAGATGTTTGAATCGTTGTTTAGCCGACTTCAGATGTGCTTCTGAATTTTTACACCCCTAACGTTCTGTCATATGCAAACGTTTGAACATTTGATTTTCTAAATTGAAAATTTTACATTTAAAAACAGAGAACAAACTTAAATATGGGATGTTTTCTGACATCTTAATGCACAATTTCTGTTTCTTTGCTGGGTTTAACGTGTTGGAAAAAAAAAACATAAGATATAAATGTATCATAACTGTAGAGGATGTGTTGACTTATTTTCTCATAGAAAATCTACAAAATAAATAATTTAATTATTTGTTTGTTTATTGCAGGTGCTGCTGGTGATGGATAAGAGAACGCAGGAGATGTTTGTTCTGAAGGTGAGGGTGAATGTGTGGCTGTATTGCCGGCTCCATTCCGCTCCGTGCAGTTTCGTCTGTTAGACAGGCGCTGAGATTAGCCTTTGCGCTAAAAGCCTACCTGCATCTCCAACATGAGCGGTTTTGTGGTAATGACTCGGTGCCATGGACGTCGCTGCGTTTTGGCTGAAGCTGAAGAGACAGTTCTCTGCTGCAGTGGCAAGAGAGAGAGAGGGAGAGAGAGAGAGAGAGAGAGAGAGACACTTCTGTATTCAGTTTAATGTGTGTGATGCCATTATTTGTGGTCTCTTTGCTTGGACAGGCTCCAGATGTCTGCTGTTGGCATGGACACAGATGATGCCAATGTCACCACACACACCTCCTCATCTATCTGACTGATCACAGCCAGAGCTGTGTGTGTGTGTGTGTGTGTGTGTGTGTGTGTGTGTGTGTGTGTGGTGACATTGGCATCGTCTGCATCCATGCCAACAGCTAAGACAAATATGGGTGTTGATATGTGTAATGAGAGATCATTTGTTTATGAAGTATCAATAGGAGAAAAACACTTAGCTCAGTTCAACGTGATATAAAACCAGTTTTGTAGCAGATACAGTCATATGCTCAAATAAAAATACAAAATGTGCCATAAATTTTGCACAGGCCATGTTTTAGGTTTCATTCGTTTACCCAGTATGTTGAATTCAGCAGATAAATAGTAAATGTGTGTTAAAATGTGCAGAAGTGTGTTGTCTGTAGAGGATGTGGTCACTTATTTATTACTTAGAAAATCAGCAAAAACATGTCATTTGATCAGGGGTGCCCAAACTTTTGCATACATCAGTAAATGCGAAAAATGATCCTAATGTGCTCGGCCTGTGCAAGTTTATTTAGTATGTGGTAGTTTATGATGTGTCTGAAATGACGAACAGAGCTGCAGATGAGGCTAAGATCACAGAGAAAACAGGAATCAGGAACGATGTTGATGTTGTTCAAATCTTAATGCGGATAACTTTGAAAAACTGACTGTAAATGACTGTAAATAGGTAATTACAGTATATTATTCATACTTTCATAACTTCTCATTTTTCACAAAATATTAATAATGAGTGAAAAATATTTTTGTAAGAAATGTTTTATTCTACTTTATTCTACATCATAGTAATAATAATAATATTAATAATAATAAGAAGTCAAGGTTTATTTATGTAGCTCTTTTTACAACAGACGTTGTCACAAAGCAGCTTTACAGAAAAATTTGGGCCCGAGTCCCCATGAGCATCGCCTGTGGTGACAGTGGCAAGGAGAAAATCCCCAAGAGCAAGACGAAAAAACCTTGAGAGGAACCAAGACTCAGAAGGGGAGCCCATCCTCCTCTGGTCAACACCGGAAAGCAAACAATAACAGCAGAGAATGAGATTTGACCGTTAGTAAAACACACGGAAAAAGGGGAAAAGCAGGAGAAGCAGTGTCTATGATTAAAAATGCAGTAGTATCACCGGGAGGGTCGGGTGAGGTTCATACATGCGTTGCTCAGCAGAAAGCTCCATGATGGTCAGACTGGTCCAGGTATGTTTTTATCAGGTGTTGATAGAGGACACGACAGGCCTTCAATTTTTTCATGTTTGTTTTTCAGGGGCTGAGGAAGAGTAGCGAGTGTGGACGTGTGAAGAAGACGGTGGTCCCCCGGACCGTGCCCAACATGGTACGACTCAGGAAGTTCATCGTCTCCGAGGACTCCGTCTTCCTGTTACTGCAGTACGCTGAGGGTACGTCTCGCAAACACACTTAACCTTACGACTAGCAGACTGACTGTTTTCCCTTCTTCGGTTGCCTTCCATTGTCATTATTTGAAGTTTCATCTGTGCGACAGTTTATTTATTAATTAATTAATTTATTTATGAAACACTAGAAGCCGTGCCGCCCACTATGCTTCTCATAGTGCACTGCAGTCTTTCTCCTGCATCGCATGAACATTTACATGTACATTTGTACTGTTATCCAGAGCTATTTGATTTAATTGTGTTATAGAGGTAGGTTAATGAGGTGTTAGGAGTCTTGCCCAAGGACTTTTATTGGTGTAGCTTGGCCCGAGCAGGGACTTGAACCCCAGTCTGTTGTGTGGAGGGCAGCGCTGTTACCCTGCATCGATGTTTATTGACTGATTTATCTGTGTTCATACCCAGTGCTGTAGTTCAGTCATTGTGGATGAAGTAGCTACTTCACTTTTTTCGATAGGAGAAGATATAAAAGGCCAGTGACTGTAGTAAGACCACTTCTACAGCTTCTACACCTGACTAGCCCTTTGCTATACATGTGCTGTATTGAAGATACAACGGTTGGGTGTCAGTATTAAATATTCAATGAAATATTCAGGTTACTAAATATTTGCTCCTGGCAGATGCTTTGTTGTTAAGGGCTGTTGGCAAGGATTTAATTTAATGAATGATTTTTTAACATTTAATAGTACCATTGTTTCATCATTTATTTTACAGTCCTGTTAATTAACATTGTATACAGGGAAATAATATATATTTTAAGGTGCAAGTTTTGCAAGTGACTGGAATTCAGGTACATTTTTACACAAATGGGTACTAAATCAGTCTTGTTACTGTTTTTTTTACTGTTTTTTACTTTGTCCTCATTTTTTATTTAAGCCATTTGAAATTACCAACTGTGCTTGGCATTTTTTTCCTTCTCCTGTAAAGTTACCATTTGGAGATACAAGGTTTTATCCCATCTTTAACATAAGCAGATCACTAACAGCTGGTTTAACCTGCACAGCAGATAATTGACAAATTAATCAGTGTTTTGATTGAATTTACGCTCTGCTTTCGAGATCAGACAGGATGTGTCGGCGCTGATTCATTACATGTGTACAGTGGTGACTGAAAGTTTGTGAACCCTTTAGAACTTTCTATATTTCTGCATAAATTTGACCTAATGAGACAAAAATATTAGACATGGTCATTAATTTTTGACTGAAAATCTGACCTGAAGTTTTGGGTCAAATTTATGCAGAAATGTAGAAAATTCTAAAGAGTAAACACGCGCCACTGTAGCATGTTATTTTGGCTGCATTTTTTTTATCCCTGTTCTGTCTTTTAAGGGGCAAAAATGTTGAATATAGGGGGCATTTGCCCTGGATATTTCTAATGGTTATTATATTGAATTAAAGGATGCTATGATAATATGGCAAAAGCATTAATACTATTAAACACTACTATTAAATACTATTAAAACAGTATGAAATGCTACGTTTAAAGAAGTACATTACAGCTATAAAAACAATGATTTTTATTCATTGATTCACATACTTTCCCAAACTATATACAGTTATCCAGGCCTAATTAAGCTTTTTTGTGATGTCACTTTTTTGTGATGTAACACAATATTGATAAATATTACATTGCTCATCTCTACAATCTGACAAATCTTCATCAACTAGTCATTGTAGACCTCTCTCTGTCTCCCTTAGAGCTTTAATAGCTTTAAAAAGACCTGAATTTTTGGTTCAAATCCAAGTGCAACCTGTTAACTTGTCCCAGTCTAATCCAAACCATTTACATTTACATTTGTGGGGTTTGGCAGATGTTCTTATCCAGAGCGACTTACAGTTTGATCATTTTACACAGGTAGGCGAAGGTAGTGATAGGAGTCGTGCCCAAGGACTCTTATTGGTGTAGTGTAGGGTGCTTGCCCGGGCGGGGGATTGAACCCCAGTCTACAGCGTAGACATATTACCCACTACACTGTACCAACCTAGGCAAACCACATCGTCAAGTTTTGAGCAACTGAGCCTGACTTTTTGTCCAAACTCAACCCTTTAAGATCCAAGTTTTCACTCAAAGTGCTAAATAAAACCTCACGTTTTTAATGATCGGGTTAAATTGCTGCGTAGCGACAATAATAGCTGTCATTTGATGGAGTATAAATACAATATTATAAAATAATGATGTATAAAACTGTCTAAAATTCATGTTAAATTCTGATTTAACATTTTTTTTTATCAAGCAATGCTTTTGATCAACATCCCAAACATTTTTAGACAAATTTTGTATACTACACTATTCTCACGCTATATAATGAGATGTTAGCCTCCACCTGTTTAATGTTAAAATTCTATTTTTGCACCTAGAATGTTACATATAACTAAAAATATATATATTTTCGGCCCAGCATATTAAATATAGACATGCTTTTGGCTGCACTGCACTGTCCACTGTTGTTAACTCTCCAGTAAGCGGTAATGTCAAAACGTTCCTAGTGAGCGCGAGAAAGACGCGTAATGACGTCACCAACTAATCGACCACTAAATTAGTTGCCAACTAATTTGGTCGTCAATTTTAGTCGACTAAGTCGAATAATCATTGCACCCCTATTTTGGAATAATAGTAACACTGATGACATCACTTGACTTCCTTTTACCTGTTTTCTGAGGATCTATGAAGAAAAGCTCATGGTGAGTCCACTGAGTCTTTCAGTTATCAGACATTTTCTCATTTAGCTCACGATTTCATATGAAGCTTTTAGCTGAAGTCACTGGTGTGACCGACTTTATTCTCAGGTAACTGTGAAAAAATAGAACACAAATGGATTAAATGACATATTTTAGTGGATATTGATGATTGACAACATGTGGTTTGATGCTCTGTAGCAGCCATTTTGTAAAATGCACCGTTCATGAAAAACGTCACTGGTGTTACCTTTCTTATGTGTAACACCGATGACGGTCAGTAACACCAGTGACTCCTATGGAGAGATAGAAAAGTGGAATCACCCGTCTCCAGCGTGTCAGATTAGAAATAGCTCAAAGGTAATGAAAGTAGAGAGGAGGATATAAAGTAAGGAGTAAAACTACAGCAGGGGGGGGAATTTGTTAAAAACAAGAGGAGCTGGAGTGTGAAATTTGCACCTCACACACACTTATTCAGGTTCTAGTCTCTCTCCCTCACACTCTTTCCTTCTCACTCCAGTTTCTGCTCCCTCTTTAGCTCTCGGCTCAGTTTTAGCTCCCTCATACCCCTTTTTTCACCTCTCGGCGCTTTTAGCATCTCCAGCCTTTTTCAGCCAGTTGCCCTTCTGGCTCTCTCATTTGAGTGTTTTTTGAGACCCCACCCCCACCCCCACTTTCCTTGGCTCGTCATGATGAGTCCTTTCCCTTTCTTCCTGACACACACTCCCTCCCTCGCTCGCTCGCACACAAGCACTCGCTCGTCTCTCTCTGTCCTTGTTAAGCTCGTGTCACAGGTCATTATCTATGGTAGCAGGTGCTGCTCTGGATCATTAACTAAGCTAACACCTGCGTCTCCTTATTCTCCGCTCTGCTCTGCTCTGCTGTGTGTGTGTGTGTGTGTGTGTGTGTGTGTGTGTGTGCGCACTGACACATCTGTGTTTAGGGGTGTGTTTATATTGGAATGAATAAACCACTTAATCTCAGAGTCATTTGTGCAACATCATGTGCCCGTGTTAATAAGTTGCCTGAAAGCTCTCAAGTAGCCTAGAGCGGCTTCTCATATCAGCCCTGGATCGAGTGTTTGTTCATCCTGAATGCGGTTCAGATGTCTCGATTTTTCCGCCGCTGAAAAATCACACGATTTTGCGTGCGCTGAAATAACGCAAGGAATAGTAAGTCTTAATTCCTGTACATGCGTGACGTCCTAAATACCAGTTAATAGCAATAACAATATCAACAACATTGATTTGCAAGTTTTAAGGGCATGAATTTAACTTAACAATAAATTGAACCTAATAATTGTACCGCCTATGGATGAGTTAGGCCATCAGAAGCAACCAAACACCCATGTGTGATGCACGCAATGACACAACCACAACTAACTGGCAGTCTGTATGTATGAATACATGATATTATAAAATAACGATATGATAAAACAGTTGGTTCTCTAAAATTCAGTTAAATCTGATTTACCAAATTTATTTATCAAGTATAGCTTTTGAACAACATCCCAAACCTTTTTAGACAGGCGACTCCAGCGTGCCAGATTAAAAATTGTTTGAAGGTAACGAAAGTAAGAAATAAAGTAAGGACCTGCAACTAACTGGAAGTCTGGCACACTGTGTTCAGCGCTCAAACCAGAAGAGCCTGAAAAAAGGATTTGACAAAGCAAAATACAGACCTGGAGCTTAATTTGTAGCAAATAATCACAATTTAAATTGAAGTCACAATATTGGCCAGACAAATTGCATAGATATTTCCCCAAATGGTTCAACTCTATGCTAGAGCCCTCATATGTTGCATAGTAGAAAGTGGTTATTGTATTTTATGATATTATTATGATGGAGCTTTCTACTGCTAGAATTCACAATGCTAAGGCTTCAACAATCCAAATATGGGAAACTCTGGCTAGTAATGTAATTTTAACCCCTTATAATAAAAGAAGCTGAGCTCACATTTTTTTTTCCTACTGAAAGTTGAACCAATTTCCACAAATCTGAGCTATAAACTGGATCCCAGATGGCGTCTCTTCAGTGATATACTCTAAAAATTATTTTTATAAAAAAATAAAAAGTGTGTCTAAGATTTTTGGCTTTCAGCGGTAAATTGTAAGCAGAAAAAAAATAAAAATAAAATAAAAATTAACATTTATTTTCAAGCAGTTACTGAATAATTTGCCTTACAATTTGGGCATGTAAATTCAGATGGAAAAAGCAAAATATACCCTGGAGAATAAGAGGTTTTAATCTCTGTTTTCATATGTGTGTATATATGTACAGTGCCTCCAAGTAGTATTCAACCCCCTCCAGATCAAATAAGTTAGAGCCTTCAAACTTTGAGCAAGAGTAGCATTTATTAACAGATGCCTAAATATTCCAAACAAAAATACAAGTTGCTCAATTAAATTATAGTACATTTTAAACATCAAAATTAGGATCAATTATTCTTCAACCCCTAGGTTTAATATTTTGTTGAATAACCCTTGTTTGCAATTACAGCTATTAATCATTTTTTAAAAGACCTGATCATGCCGGCACAGGTCTCTGGAGTAATCTTGGCCCACTCCGCCATGCAGATCTTCTCCAAGTTGTCTAGGTTCTTTGGGCATCTCTTGTGGACTTTGATCTTGAGCTCCTTCCACAAGTTTTCAATTGGGTTAAGGTCAGGAGACTGACTAGGCCACTGCAACACTTGATCTTTTCCCTCTTAAACCAGGCCTTGGTTTTCTTGGCCGTGTGCTTGGGGTCATTGTCCTGTTGGAAGATGAAATGACGACCCATCTTAAGATCCTTGATGGAGAAGCGGAGGTTTTTGGCCAAAATCTCCAGGTAGGCTGTGCTATCCATCTTCCCGTGGATGCGGACCAGATGGCCAGGCCCCTTGGCTGAGAAGCAGCCCCACAGCATGATGCTGCCACCACCATACTTGACTGTAGGGATGGTATTCTTGGGGTCGTATGCAGTGCCATCCTCTCGCCAAACACCCCAGGTGTGGTTGGCACCAAAGACCTCGATCTTGGTCTCATCAGACCAGAGAACCTTGAACCAGTCTGCTTCAGAGTCCTCCAAGTGATCAGGAGCAATCTTTAGACGGGCCTTGACATGACGTTTTGAAAGTAAAGGTACCTTACGGGCTCGCCTGGAACGGAGACCATGGTGGTGCAGTACGTTACTTATGGTATTTATTGAAACCAGTGTCCCCACCGCCATGAGATCTTTCCGGAGCTCCCTTTTTGTTGTCCTTGGGTCAGCCTTGACCGTTCGGACAAGCCTGGCCTCGGCACGGGAGGAAACTTTGAAAGGCTGTCCAGGCCGTGGAAGGTTAACAGTAGTTCCATAAGCCTTCCACTTCAAGGATGATGCTCCCAATGGTGGAGACAGGTACGCCCAACTCCTTGGAAAGGGTTTTGTACCCCTTGCCAGCCTTGTGACCCTCCACGATTTTGTCTCTGATGGCCTTGGAATGCTCCTTAGTCTTTCCCATGTTGACCATGTATGAGTGCTGTTCACTTGATTGGGGTTAACTCCAAATGTGTAAACCTGCAAAATCTGCAGGGGGTTGAATACTACATATATATACTACTTATATATATGTTAGTAAGGGTATGCACACATAAAAGTGCGTCTGTCTATGTATATGTACATGTACATGTGTTGTACATTGATGTTTTGCTCTAATAAAACAGTGATAAATGTGTAAACCACATTAAATTAAATAGAGGGTTTTCTTTTGGAGGAATAATTTGGAGGAGTAATATTGCGACATACTGAAGTATAGGTTATTAAATCACTTGGCATATCACAAATCTTGAAATATTGCTGTGCAATCATACGAGGACTCACGTGTTGTCATATGTTAGATTACTTAATGACCTTGTTTGAGCCGAACGTGCAGTAATCTGTGTAGTTTTCTTGATGCTAATTGGTGTACATGAACTTCATTACTTGTTCACTACATTAGCCTTGTAACTCCAGTAACAAACTAAAGAAGCAAACTTCAATCTTGATTTGGTGAAAAGGGGAGGGAGGGATAGATTGTATTAGATTTTTCTCAAAACTATTTATTTCAAGCGCACAACCTAATTCTCAAATAACCTTCTGCATGGAAATGTTGACTCGCAGCTCACTCAGTAAATGTAGTGCTGATGCAGGAATGTTGGGATCAAGACCACCGAAAATAATCCAAACAAACACGGATGTCGGACAGAGAGTTTGGGCTGCTGACCCGTGTGACATTCGCTGAGCCCCATTGGCTGTTTTTTTGTGTTTTGTTTGTTTGCTTTGTTCGTAGACTGGAATAATTTGGACTGCAGCGGTGTCATTATCTTAGCAGTGAAGAGCCAATTCATTCTGTTAACACAGCAGATGTTACCCTCCAATCACTCACAACACAGCTGTGTGTGTGTGTGTGTGTGTGTGTGGTGTGTGTGTGTGTGTGTGCGTTTAGGCTTGCAATCTGTTAGAAATGAGATGGTATCGTTTAAAACCCTGGCTCTTTACATTGTAGTGACCTTTTTAGTTCTGCTAATGCGCTTTAATGTTTTGCCTGATCCAGCATTCTCCTCTGTTGATATCAACTGTCTGGTATCATACAACTGTTTCTTGTATCTTGTGCTTTAAAGTGATTTTTTGGCCAATTATCACAGTTTCTCCCTTTCCCCAAATAGAGTCACCAAGACAAGGGGTTGACCGATATATTTTCTTCTGGACTGATACTGATTATTAATAAGCGTGGAAGCTGATATGAAAACTGATGTGGGAAGCTGATGTTTATTTGCCATAAATTTAGTTTATAATGTGCAAATATGTAGAAACACATTTCACCAACAAAGCATGTGTTGATTGGTTGCACTTGACACATCACACTTACTGTATTCAGGCTGTTAGTAAGGTTCTGTGTGGGGCTTTGAGCCAGAAGGGTTTCTTTCGGTCGGTCATGTAACTGCATTCAGCAAGGCACAAGCTTGCTCCAAAGTCTGGGGCTGTGATGAAATCTCTGGGTCTCTCTCTTTCTCTCTAGGAGGTAAACTGTGGTCTCACATCACCAAGTACCTTCATCAGGGTAGTCCAGAGGAGAGCTTCGACATCCCCTTCATCCAGAAGACGCACACGGCGGTCTTGCGCTCTGCTGAGCATTTAGACCCAGCCTTGGCCAGCTCGGACAGCGCCGGCTCTCAGCCCAGCCTGGAACTCCAGGAGGAGGAGGATGAGGATGAGGGTGCCGCTCCACGAGGCCTTCCCCAGCTGAGCACCCTGAGCTTGGGAGAGGGTGACCTGCAGGGCCCCCTGCCTGACTCTGGAGACACCTCAGAAGAAGAGTGCACCAACAGCTACCTGACGCTAATCAACGAATACGAGCAGGTAGGGGTGTAAAATCGCATCGATCAGAAGCGAGTGATTCATCTGCCTCGATTTTGGAGGGCTAGAGTGAAGCATAGTACTTCTAATATTAATAATAATCACAACAAACAGTTCTCATGCTGCACTTACGTTATGACAGTAGATGGAAACTGGATGTTCCAGCGGCAGTGGCACTGTACTGCAGCAGGCAGTGAAACGCTCCGTGAAGATTTCGGTTTTCCCAGCCGGTTTTCTAACAAAACAGAATTGAATCGATTCATTGTGAACTTATAGACGAAGTCCAGGTTACTACAGTTATTACTGTGCAATTCGTTCTTCCAGTTATTCTCCAACATACTCGAAGAATCTAATCGAATTGTGGTGGTGGAATTTCATGATGCATCTGTTGCAGTCGTTTGCTTAAGCACTGTAATCAAATCAATTCACTGTGAATTATTTGCTAAAGAATCTTTGAATCATTTTCTAACAGATCGTATTTGAATCGATTCATTGATAACTCGTAGCTGAAGTCCAGGCGTGCTGTCCGTGTACAACGGAACCCAAACTTCAACAATAAACACAACAATTTAAACATTAGAATGTGTTCAAAGCACTTTTAGGATACAGTAGTGGCTAACAATCATCCTGCACACGGGCTAGAATGCCAGCTATTGCAGAGATATAAGCATCACGGCAATGTTGTCATTTGTGTACTGTTGCTATTTACATCCCAGTGGCAATAGGCAAATGCAAAGTTACATCAGGTATTGTTTTGATTGGTTGCTGTAGTTGCCGAGTAACATATGATTGGTGAAATTTGAGATTTCATAAAGAACTGCATCACTGAAATCACCAAAAAGAATTGTTGAGTCATTTTCCAATGAATCCTAATTGAATCAATTCTTTGTGAACTGTGAGCAGGAGAAAGTGGAGCCCGAGACTCTGGGTGAGGAAGAGGAGGAGGGCGCTGAAGAAGCCGAGGAAGACTCCTGCATCCTCGGAGGCGAGGGTTCTGACATCGCCACGGGGATGTCCAGGTCGTCCCGCACTCGGTCCTTGATAAGCGGCGACAGCTTGTGCTCTCCAATCACGGCACAGGAGCTGCGATTCTTCACGGAGGAGGAGGATCTTAGTGACCCGCCCACTCTGGACTCTCTGGACCAGTCAAAACGCTCCCCAATGGAACTCTTCCGCATCGACAGCAAAGACAGCGGCGACATCTCCAGAGCCCTGTTCTCCACCTCTGACTTGGGCTCGGAGGTCACGGAGGTCACGGAGGACCCCCTGGAGGTGGGCGAGGTTGTGGAAGTCAAAGATCACGTGACGGACCTCTGGCGCTTCGACAACGATCAAGGATCTAACGAGTCGGTGCCTGTGATCTCTTTCAAAGAGGCCATGGCGGAGGACGAGGGAACGGCCTCCTGATCTTTTGGTCAACCTGCCCGGGGTTAGAGGGGTCACGGGGGTCACGGGGGTCACCATGGACGACTTGGAGGAGGAGCTTGTGGCGGCGGGTGTGGCTTTCGCCGTAGAAGCCAAACCATCGCCTAAATTCGGCAAACCCGACGTGCTGCAGCTAGGAGAGGAGGCGGGACTGGACCTGTCGGTCAAGGCAGATGACGATGGGGATGGTCCGGCCTTCTCTAATTTGCATAAAGAATTGAATGCGGATGTACTTGAACAGGAAGGCCACGCCCCTTCCATTCACAGTAGTGCAGAATCTCAGACACTTTCTAGCTCTCGGTCTCCCTCCAATCCACTCGCTCCGTCACCACAGTTCTCTGATTTGCTGCACTCCACTGACCCGAGGACTGAGTCCAGCTCAACTCAGCCGCAGCTGCCCTCAAGGTCGGGGTCTGAGGTCACAGAAGGGTCCCGGGTTGAGAGGGAGGGGAGGAGTGTGTCAGAGCTGTTCCGCGAGCTGGACGAGCTGGCTGAGGTGGCGCTGCACACGCACATCCCGGAGACGCTGGTCAGGAGCTGGGCCGTGGACATGCTGCTGGCCCTCGATGCTCTTCATCAAGAGGGCATCATCTGCAGAGACCTCAACCCTAACAATATACTGCTGAATCACAGAGGTACACACACACAGCCTGCTCTCACAATGTGCTGCTGATCCCTCGCAATGCAATTTTCGATATTTGTTGTCGTTGGAGAAAACAGTGCATCTCCATAATGTTAACTTTATACTAGACTTAACAGATTTCCAAAATGGAGAGCATCTTAAACTTAACGTCAGTTTGTCACAGAATTCCTTGTCTTTTTGTCATGAGTGCGCTCAGACTAGACGACAAGGCAAAGAGATAGTATAACACACACAACGAGTTTGGGCTACGAATAAGATCTCAGAACTCCCAGATCTCCTGAGAGATCACACGACGCAAACTAAAAGCTAAACCTACTGGACTGGACCTGTTTGTGCTTTTATGCGGAGCGAAAGCACAAACCTGGGGTTAATATGGGGTTGAGAAACGCTGATAGCGCAGTGAGAGCTGGAGAAATATTTCACTACAAACTGGCAGCTGAGCTGAAATTGTAAAGAGTGAAGAGTGTTTTGACATCTGGATCCAACATTATAAACATGATATCAGCTCTTATCTGCCTGTGTTTTACACGCAGCTCCTCTGTCTCCGCTACGCTGTTCAGGCTTGTCTCTCCACCTGTTTCTCCGCTCTTCTAACTCTTTGATTAGCTGTTGTTTGAATCACTCACTGGCTGTGTTTACATGCGAAGATTTTTGCCAATCCGATTGAATACAATCGGATTCCAGACTCAGACTGAGGTGTTTATATACTCACTCTATTCAACAATTTGATGGAAGATCTTCGTTTACATGCTCACTGCAAGTAATCCGAAGCAAAATGACGCGCATACGTGGAGTAGTGTTTAGAGTAAACGTTACCATGACAGCGAACATCACGTGAGGTCCAGTCCGCGTGAGATGAGTTTCCAGTTGACGCACTCGTGTTTTAATTGCTTTAAAATGATGTCAGACTCAGGAAAACGTGCTTCACATGTACTTATTAAAGAAGTTCTGAGACACATAAGCTGGACGTCCGTCCCACCGCCGTCTTTTAAAGATCAGAGCATAAACTTCGCCTCCTCTGCAGACCAGCTTCTGCTCCGCCATGTTGAACGTTATAAACTCTCACTATGACGCGACGCACATGATCAGAACGTATTTACACGTTCCGATTGGGAATGTAATCAGATACAGGCGTTTACACGGATATTATTCTTCTATTTAACCGATTATTTAGAAGTTTACCCAGCTCGTTCAGTCGGATAGAAACTGTATTCTGGATGGCCTCAATCGGATTAGACTATTCCGATTGAGGTGTTTACATGGACATATTCTATTCCGATTGAGCTATTAGTCGGATTATTAACGGATTATTAGGCTGCATGTAAACGTGGCTACTGAGTAAATCTTTTTCACACTACAGGTCTCATGAGCATTTTGAGTCGTTAATGTTGAACACGTTTGATAATATCGGAGGGTCTCTGCTTACTTCAGAGGTCGACTGGGGGGGTTAAAGATTCACTTGTTTTTCCTCTCACACTACCAGATCATCCGCACCGCCGGTCACCTCCCGACCTGAAAAATCACTTCAGAATGTGAAAATTTGTCGCAAAGGACAAATCAGGGTTAAAATCGGGCAAAAAAACGTGTAGTGTAGGCCCAGCCTAATGTTCATATTCTGATGGAAGATTATAAAAAAACAAGAATTTTGTCTTTCATATAATATATGTCAAGTCATGACCTATTATGACCAGAAACGTGAAAAAAAAGACCAATTTGGATTTCTGGTTGACTTTAAAGGGATTGTTTGTTCAAAAAAACCAAATTCCCAAAATTTCCTTTCCACAAATGTAGTTGATCAGCCAAGACATGTTTGGCGTCCGAGGTTTGCGTCTTTAGTTTTGCACTGACGAATTTGCACAAGGATAGTTTAGCTCACAAATCATTTAAAGACAAGAAAAATAACAGCAGGAAATTCAGTGCTAACCACTATAACTGCAGACACAGTGTAAAAGCAATGGTTTTAGCTGAAGTGTACATAATTTTCTCCTTATTTCAAATGTAGTTGATCAGCCAAGACAAGTTCAGTCTGAAATTTGCGTCTTTGTTTTCACACTCGAGCTACGAGGCTAATGTAGCTAACAAATAAAGCATACAGCTAATTAGCATTGTGTGAACTACATGGCTAAACCATTGCACACTCGCCTCAAACCGTGTGGAGTTTTTCCCAATGTGTCCCAGTTCAGGGGCTGCATCCTTCGAAGGCTGCTTAGACCCGCGAAGGCTGAACTGAAATCTCCCCTGCTGATGCCGGCGTATTCTCGAATCTTTGCCGGCACGCAGTGAACCTTGGGAAGTTTTGGCTGGTGAAGGATCCACCCGTTGGATCCTTTGTTGCCATGGAAAAAGAAGGACACATTTCTCAGCCACATGAAGGAGACTTCGAACAGCCTAGTCGCGCTGCTGTGATGCAGTCGGCCTTCAAAGCCCCTGAATTGGGACGCAGCCCCAGACTTTCTTATGTGGTTTCTGATACTGTATGACGGACTTCGAGATGCCTGCTGCTACTGTTTTAAGCTGCGACGCTCTTTTAGTCCACTTGTATAGATGCAGTAGGTGCAGATATGCAGTTTGTACGATGCTACTTGATAGGATACAAGCTTCCATTTCATGTTAGCTACATTCTTAAAAATGATGGTTCTCCAAGGGTTCTTTAGTAAAGAAGATGGTTCTATATAGAGCCATGGACACTCGAAGAACCCTTTGCATGATTAAAGGGTTCTTTGCATGGTGAAATCGTTCTTCAGATTATTGAAAAATGGGGTGTAGATGGTTTTATATAGGATCTTTTTGTAAAGGGGTCTAGATAGCACCAAAAAGGGTTCTTCTCTTGTTATGATGTCAAGCTTGTAGTAATAGAAAAGCCCTTTTTGGTGCTATATAGAACCATATACAATACATTTTCCATTAGTCTGAAGAATGCAACGGCCCTTTAATCATGCAAAGGGTTCTTTGAGTGTTCATGGGTCCATAAAGAAACTTTCTTTACTAAGAACCCTTAAAGAACCCTTAAAGAACCTTCATTTTTAAGTGTGTATTTTAGCCTCGAGGCCAAAGATGTTTTGTGCTGACCAGTCGAAACAGTGTTTGGCCTCCAAACATGTCTTGGCTGATTTGACTACATTTAAAAATAATTTTGTAAATTAATTTTTTTTGCTTTTACACTGTGTTTATACTAAAAGTGGTCAGTTCGCACGTGTTGTGTGTCCGGCTGTTGTGTTTCTTGTCTCTGAATTGGCTGTTGTGTTCGAGCGATTGTATCTGCGCCTCCCTCTGAGGGTGAGATCTCCTGCTCAGAGATCAGAGCGCTAATAGGGTCCAATGGTTAATAACAGCATTACTGCCAATGACACAGCGCTAGCACTCAAACCACAGCAATTACATCACAGCATCACTGCATTACTGCTCCCTCTTTCAGCGCGAGAGAGAGAGAGAGAGAGAGCGAGAGAGAGAGAGAGAGCGAGCGAGAGCGAGCGAGCGAAGAGTGGGGGCAGATTCATTTCATTCTCAGGGCAGATTGTAATTTTGTTACAGTGTTTTAGTGGAGATGTAGGGTAGCTTTCAGTTTAATTAGCCAGTTTATTCTCTCTCTCTCTCTCTCTCTCTCTCTCTCTCTCTCTCTCTCTCTCTCTCTCTCTCTCTCTCTGTCTTTCTGTCTACATTGCTCTCACTCTTTTTCTCTCACTGCCCCTTTACTGTCTCTCATCCTGCCATTTACACCGTCTGTCGTTCTGTTTCTGTCTTTCTCTTTCTTTCTTGCTCTCTCTCGTACTTTCTTCCTTCCTCTCTCTCTCTCGCACCCTTTCTCCCTAACTCTTTTTCTGTCTCCTGAGCTGTCTCGGACTTTTTCACTCATTCTTTCTGTCTCTGCTTCTCTCTCTCTCTCTGCTTCTCTCTCTCTGTCTCTCTCTCTCTTTTCAGTGTCCATCTTTCTCTGTCTCTTTTTTGCTTTCGCTAATTATAAGACCAGTAATTAATAAAAAAGGAGTTGTGACTAATAGAATGTATTTTAAATTCAATAATATCTCTCTCTCTCTCTCTCTCTCTTTCTCTGTCTCTGTCTGTCTGTCTTTCTCGCTGTCTCTCTTTTTCAATGTAGCTTTATTGGTATGACTGTAAAGTCCAGTATTGCCAAAGCAGTACAACAGTGACAACAATGACAACAATAACATCATGAACATATAATGATAATATTATATCAAATAGTAACAATAATAACAACAACATTGTTGACTATGGTAAAAGAAAAAATGGTGCAAGTTATTGTAAAATTATTCATTATACAAATTTGGGAGCATTTTTTTTATTTATACATATGTGTACTGTTGGAGGAACGTGTGAAGAATGGGGGAAGGGGGGTGGGGGTCAGAAGAGATAGATAGAAAGAAAGGCAGAAAGAAAGGCAGAAAGAAAGAAAGAACTTTATTGATCCCAAAGGGAAGTTGCAATGTTTCAGTAGCAAGACATATAATTTCACATAAACTTACATATACTATGCAGAAAATAAAAATAGACATAAATTAAGTATAAGAGTAGAAATAAATTATATCTGTTTGCATATTTATATGGCATATGAGACAGATTTGTTGTCTTTACATGATAAGCAGGCACTGAGTAGTATGAGGTAAACTAAAAGCACGAGTATAACTAGGAGTTGCAGCGATATTACAGTGTAAAGTGTGCAGTGAAAGTGTCTTTACAGTATCAGTTATGATATATTGCACAGTGTGTATTAATCGGAGAGGAGATACAGTGATGTGGTTCAGCTCAGTTCAGACAGCAGGAGATCAGTACCGTCTCTGCAGTAAGGAGACTCGTTGTAGAGCCGTATAGCAGTGGGTAAAAAAGACCTCACATGGTGCTCTTTAACACAGTGCTGTAACAGTCGGACACTGAATGGGCTTCTCTGTTTATCCAGTGTAGCATGCAGAGGGTGTGAGGTGTTGTCCAGTACGACTAACAACTCATTGAGCGTCCGCTGTTCTGCCACAACCTCCAAAGAGTCCAGCTTGACTCCTGGCAACAGAGCCAGCCTTCCTAATAAGTTTGTTTAATTAGTTCAGAGCACTTTTCTTAATGCTGCTGCCCCAAAACACAACAGCACAGAATAAAGCACTCACTACAGCAGACTGGTGGAGTGTTCAAAGGAGCTTAGCACACACACCAAAAGACCTCAGCCTCCTCAGGAAGTAGAGACGGCTTTGGCCTCTCTTGTACGCGGCGAGAGCGTTGGGGGGCAGGGGTGGGGGTCAGAAGGGTGGGCGTATGTGGGGTGGGGGTCAGAAGGGTGGGGATATAGAGAGGGTGTGTGTATGGGGGCGATGTTACCCACTCTCTTTTAGGCGGTGACATATTGAGCAGTGAGGGGGGCTGTGTGCCCCTTTCCAAGGATTATTCGTAATTTTTTAATTTGTGTATTTGTTTCAAAGTTTGGGATCAACTTTTCTCTCTCTCTCTCTCTCTCTCTCTCTCTCTCTCTCTCTCTCTCTCTCTCTCTCTCAGGTCATGTGGAGTTGACGTATTTCTGCAGCTGGAGTGATGTGGAGGACTCGTGCGATCCTGACGCCGTCACTAAGATGTACTGTGCGCCAGGTTGGTCATTTCTCACATAAAAGCGTTTTTTTTTTCCTTCCTTCCTTCCCCGAATGTAGTCGGCTATCCAAGAAGTGTTTAGTGTGTGCTTCTTTAGTTTTTCACCAGAGCTACAAGGCTAATGTAGCTAACAAGTAGTGAAAGCTTATACCTGATCAGTACAGCATTCTGTATGTTTGGCGTCTATAAAAGAAAAATATGGACCCAATTCAGGCAAATGTATTGCTGCTAGTACTGTTGCAGCTATGCAGTGTACTTGTGTCCGTGTTTATAGATAACACTGTCCCACACTAATGAAAACCACATAGGCAGGTCTGTCAGAGATCACTTAACAACTCAACACAAGATTAGACACAAGTCTGTGACGACTGACATGACGTTCATGCCGTGCTAATTGGTGGGGTATAAGCTCCAATTACTACATTGGCCTCGTAGCTTTGTGCCAAACTGAAGTTGTGTGTAAATTGTTACCCAGAGGGATGTATGTTTTCTCTGACCCTTGAGTAAAGTGAGTTTTAGATTTGTGTTCGTAAGACTTTATGAAGCACTATGGCAGTGTAAAGTCACTGTACTGACAGAGGTAAATTGATTTTCTCTGACTCTCATGTAAATTGAGTTTCATTTTGTTTTTTATAAGATGTTATGAATCCTCCTGACTAAATACTGAAATGAGTTGTGTGTATTTTATTTTATTTGGCTCTTAAAATGAACAGCTTATGCAATTGTTTCTTGAGTCTTTCCTTTCTCCTTTGATGGTGGTTTTATAAGAAAATGCCTTTGCATACACAGTATTCAGTCCTCATTGAAGAGCTTTCCTGATGTAGGATTTCAGGCCATTTTATGTCGACTTGGGTTAAAACTTTTGTCAGGATTAAATTATCCTGTATAGTATCTTAAGAATTGCATGTGATGGACGAGTCTGGGTTTGGCGCATGCCGGGAGAACGTTACCTGCCTGACTGCACTGTGCCCACTGTAAAGTTTGGTGGAGGAGGGATAATGCTATGGGGTTGTTTTCAGGGGTGGGTCTAGAGCCCTTAGTTCCAGTGAAGGGAAGTCTTAATGCTTCAGCAGACCAAGACATTTTGGACGATTCTATGCTTCCAACTTTGTGGGAACAATTTGGGAAGAACCTTTCCTGTTCCAGCATGACTGAGCCCCAGTGCACAAAGCAAAGTCCATAAAGGCCTGGCTGGGTGAGTTTGGTGTGGTAGAACTTGACTGGCCCTCACAGAGCCCTGACCTCAACCCCACTGAACACCTCTGGGATGAACTAGAACGGAGATTCTGAGCCAGGCCCTCTCGTCCAACATGAGTGCCTGACCTCACAGACACTCTTCTAGATAAATGGGCGGAAATTCCCACAGACACTCTCAAAATCTGTAGAAAGCTTTCCCAGAAGGGCTGGAAGCTGTTATAGCTGCAAAGGGGGGGACAACTCCATATTAGTGCCTATGGGTTTAGAATGGGATGTCGTAATGTGCAGGTGTCCCAATACTTTTGTCCATATAGGTCGCGTGAGCTGTCATGCGTTACGCTGACAATGGCGTGTGCGGAGGGCCATTTTGGTAGCATAAGGTGAAAGGAGGAGACCTAGCTGGTGGGATTTGGACCTGATCTAATTGGAAATACACAAAATCCAATAAGATTATTATATTTACCAAAAATTGCTTACCTAGTGTTGGATGAGTATTTTGATTCATTGAAATACTCACAGAACCTCATCTGGAGCTGTGTTTAGGCTCATGGGCGTATTGCGATAAGCCAAGATTATGATAAGCCAAGATTGCCCTAACCATTAACAAACGATATATTGTGCAGACCTGTTGTAGAGATGAGTTTATCAAATGAAACACAGCTGGTCTCCAACTTACACCAATAATGCTTGATTTTCTTTCACAATTCTGATGAAACAAGTTCTTAACAGTGGAAAAAATGCTAAAAATCAAGAAGCATTATGTTTAGCATGGTAAACGTGACATGCATGACAATGGCGAATGTGTTTTGGGTGGTTATGTCTGTCTATCTTAGGACACATAAGATCTTTTGAAGCAATTTAATTTTGTTCAGAACCATCCAGAAACCAAAGCACTGCTTCTGCTTATGGTAGGATTTAATAAAATATCTGGATACCGATTAGAAACACTACTTTCAATTCCCAAGATGTTTCAGTAATTCCAGCAAAAAGGCATTCTGGGATTTGGAGAGGTTCCAATGCGCACGCATACAAACCGTAGTGCTAGCAGTCATGCTAGGTGGCTTAAGGATGCCCTTTTAGCCCACGGCACTTTTAATAAGTATGAAAGCAGGATTTCTGAGACTCCCAAAGCTACGCGGAAGCTACGGAATCTCTACCATATGGTTCGATCTGGGTTAAAGGCCTGCAGAGTCTTCAAACGAAGTGAATGTGACCTCTCAGGATTAAACTGGGCAGAGAAATGATGGTGTGTAGTACGGCTGTCGTGACTGCTCAGTCCATCTTTTGAACCTCTGATTAATTGTTAAAATAAATGATAAAGTTACTTGTGAGCCCCAGTGTTTAGTCAGTTGTGCAGTTATTTGGTATCTTCACTTTAATGTAAAAGAGAAAGGTCTTCACGATTTGACCTGTTATTATGAGGAGATGTATTTTTAGCCCTACGTTGATGCACACTGCCCATCAAAAGTTCCGTGACGCCTTGTTTTGCCAGGAAATTTTCAGATCATTGTTTGATTTTCACTGTTACTTTTAACCTCTTCAACTCCTTGAGACCACCGGTGGTTCCAAAACGCACTTCGTCATATTCTTCATAACTTTAATATTTCATAAGCTACATTCACAAGGTGGCGGTCATATGAGAGCTATAACTGTCTTCTTTCCAGTCAAATAGATGGGTGATGTAATTTTAAACCCTTATAATAAAAGGGTTCACAGTTTTTTTTCTACGGAAAGTCGACCCATTTTTCCACAAATCTGGGCTATAAACTATAAACAGATGGCGTCTCTTCAGTGATCTGCTCTGTAAAAATTATATTTATAAAAAAAATAGAGTAAGCGTCTAAGATTTTTGGCTTTCAGCAGTAAATTGTAAGCATATAGCAATATGTGTATGATCATAAAACACATGTTTGAGGGGAGCTTTTACAAAAACAATAAATAAATAAAATAAAAATGTACATTTATTTCAGATACTGAATAAATTGCCTTACGATTTGGTCATGTAAATTCAGATGGACAAACCAAAATATACTCTGGAGAATAAGAGGTTAAATTAAGAAGAAAAACACCTTTGTCGTCATAAAACAGTATCAGATTTGTGACAAATTACAAAAAACAAAAAAAAAACAAAAACAATAATAAAAGCACTTACCAAAGCTAGGATACCAGGAGTCATCAGAGCACCTTAAATGTGTCTCAGAATGCATTGTGTGCATAAATTAGTTGGAATTATGATCATACATTCGGTCAAAGCACATTTTCCCAACACCAAACTATGTCAACCTAAATAATCACTGTGTGGAGACATTTTCAGCTGATATAACTGCTTCATGAGGGAGGGCCTGGCTTAAAATGAAGAACACCTTAAATTCAGGTGTGCAGCCGGGCATGGGTTTCCTCCCACATACCGTCAGGCTAATTGGTAATACTAGATTGATCTAGGTGTGAGTGTGGCTGTATGTGTCTGTGTGTCTGCCCTGTGATGGACTGGCTACCTGTCCAGGGTGTTTCCTGCCTATCGCCCGATAAGCGTTGGTGGGCGTGTCTAGGTAATTATGGAAATGAAGGAACTGTATTGAACAAATGTGAGACGGTGAACAGTTTGACATGCCTACATTGGCTGTGTTTACATGCAAAGATTTTTGCCGGTCTGATTGAACACATTCCGATTATAGATTAAGATTGAGGTGTTTACAATTTACAATGGTGTTTATGCTCAATCTACACAACAATCTAAAGGAAAATCTCTGTTTACATGCTCACTACAAGTAATCTGATCCAAAATGACGTGCGTGCGTAGAGAACCACTTAGTGTAGATGTCATCATGACAGTACTTGTGTTTTTAATTACTTTAAAATGATGTCAGACTCAGGAAAACGTGCTTCACATGTCCTTATTTACATGGATATTATTCTTCTGTTTAACGGATTATTTACAGGATTACCCACCTCATTCAATCGGATAGAAACTGTATTCCGAATGGCCTCAATCAGACTCGTCTGTTCTGATTGAGGTGTTTACATGGACGTATTCTATTCCGATTGAGCTATCAGTCGGATTATTAACAGATTTTTATTCACATTTAAGTCCAGGGAATAACCTGAAATGCAAAGATGGCTCGTTTGAAAAGGGTTCTATATAGCACCAAAAAGGTTCTTCTATTGTTACGATGTCGAGCTTGTTACAATAGAAGAACCCTTTTTGGTGCTATTTAGAACCCTTTATAATTCTTTATAAAACCATCTACAGCACATTCTCCATCAGACTGAAGAACCCTTTCGCGAAGCAAGGAACCCCTTAATCATGCAAAGGGTTCTTTGAGTGTTCGTGGTTCTATATAGAACCATTTTCTTCACTGAAGAACCCTCGAAGAACCATCTTTTTTTGAAATGTGTTTTGCTGAATGTATGAATTGAGAAGCCGTTTATTTATTTTTGTGTGAAGAATCTGTGTGAATACCTGCTCATACGTCCATTAGGTTAAGATCTGATGACCGTGAAGGCCACAGCACACGATTTTACATCATTTTCATGCTCATCCACCCATTCAGTCACCCTTCATTGCCTCTGTATGGGAGTATGGTCATCCTGGAAGAGTCCACTCCGGTCAGGATAGAAATGTTTTATCATAGGGTAAAAGTGATCACTTTTGTATTGATTTGCAGTGACCCCTCTCTTTAAGGGGACATAAGGGGACTAGTGGATTCAAAACATGCCAGCAAAATGCCCCTCACAGCATAACATCTTCTCAGGTCAGGCTGATACATCAGAGGTTTTTTAGTACTTTTAGACAACAGATGAAC